AAGAAAAAAAAAGAGAGAGAGAGAGAGAGAGAGAGAGAGAGAGAGAGAGAGCGAGAGAGAGAGAGCGAGCGCGCGCTACACCTATCTTACTCAGCAGAATGAAGACTAGTAAGGAAGAGATTTTGTTGTTGGGAAAACAAAACTTAGATTTTTGAGGAGCACTTGAAGACACCTGGGGAACCAGCCAGGTTTCCCCTTAGGGTTTCTTACATGAAGTCTTTTATTGTTATGATTTGTCCTTTTCAGATAGGGTCTTCTGTTTTCCAGACAGACTGGAATTTGAGGGATTACCCTGTACTTCTGTTCTTCTTGCTTCTGTCTCTCACGTGCTACATCACCTTGCGCTCTGTGTGTGAGGAGGGACTGACCCATGCCTGTGAGCCTACTACATGAGCAGTCTCACAATTTAGCTACCTCTGCTCCCCCCTAACTTAAAGTTTAAATAGCATTTCAGTTAACTACCCAGGTTTCATGTCCAGTTTACCCTAAAGGGAAGCACTTTCGGAATTTAAAGGCTTAAAAATTTAATGTAAAGCCGGGCGGTGGTGGCGCACGCCTTTAATCCCAGCACTCAGGAGGCAGAGGCAGGCGGATCTCTGTGAGTTCGAGGCCAGCCTTGTCTACAAGAGCGAGTTCCAGGACAGGAACCAAAAGCTACGGAGAAACCCTGTCTTGAAAAATCCAAAAAAAAAAAAAAATTAATGTAAAATTTAAGGAATAGAAGAGGATTAATGTATGTCATGAAAACAAGAAAATAGGTACGAAAAACCTTTATATTAAGAGTGTATTGTTACTTGTGCAAATGACATTGTAATCGTTCATTTAGAGCCACCGCTAAATACCAGGATTCTTTCTTAATTGCAAGACTCATTTATATCTTTTCAGTTGAGCCCGTATGGCATTACGTGTGTCAGTAATGGAGCCTGTTTGCATAAATGAGCAAAAAAAAATGCACTTGAGGATTTGTAGCAAGACCTACTTCCTCAAGTCTTTTGTGTTTGTTTTGGTCTTAGGAAGACTTCATGACTGTAAGCATTTTGCACACAGGACAGTACGTCCAATCTTTTCAGTTTTGAATGATTTGAGGGAATTGAAAACCTGATCAGAACTTGGATCTCTCAAGCATGGTTATGACACATGTAAGAACAGCTATGGAGAAGGCCTCATCCTGTGTTTTAACGTGTGCTGATGAGACTAGATACTGATAAGGAGGGAAGTGTAATGAATTTGCTAGTTCTCACATGTATCATAGTTGGTGTCATTTGACAGAAGTGGAATTTTAACATGTTTTACTGGCACTTCTTTTATGGTCATGTGTGTGTGTAACTATGAAGGTCAGAAAACAGCTTCAAGTATCATTCTTCCAGCTCCCTCCACTGTTTGCTTGTTTGATTTGAGACATGGTCTTTTGCTGGCTTGTAACTCAGCAACTAGTCTGTACTAGTTCTCCTAGCTCTACCTCCCGGTGCTGTGATTATAGGCAGGTATCCCCATTCCTAGACTTGTTTTTAATCACTGGTTCTGGGATCTGCACTCAGAGCCTTAACCGACCTATCTCCCCTGCCCAAATGCCAGCACATCTTACTAATTTATTTATTCTGGTATCGCTATCTGTTGTATCAAATTGAAACCAAGATGACTTGGTTTGTGTTTCTATTTGGCTTGCTGTTCAAAGTGAAGTCACTTCTGATGTCATTTTGTCAAGCATCACATTTGGCATGAGCAAAGTGGTGTGGAGTAACCTGGAATAATGCTGGGTTTGTATACCTTCAGCAGAGACATAAAAGACTTGTGAAATTACCTCCCCAGAGGAGAGTGGGTCACAGAGCTCCTTCCGAGTTGCTGCTGACCAGGTAGCACACAGTGATGGTAGATATCCTACCTACAGTTATACATAGATACAATCCTGTTTCTAGATACCACATTGTAGTTTTGTATTTTGTTCTTAGCTGTGAAGAAAACAAGAGTTCCCCCATATAAGCAAGGTTGTGTATAAATAAATGCATACATATTTAATTTACCTAGAAAAATAGCTGAGGTGAGTCTCAAAGCCAGTAAAATGGCTCAGTGGATAAAGGAACTTTCCACCAAACCTCGGGACCTGAATTTAATTTCTGGAGGAAATAGTTCCTACACGTTTTCCTTTGTCCTCCCCACATATTCCATGGTGACTGCATATGAACAGATATTAAATAAAAAAATAGGTAATTTTTAAAGCCTTAAATTTGGCTTGTTTAAACATAGTGGGCCTGATGCTTCCCCCATGGACATTTATTGTTGGTATTGTATTTTTAAAGTGAATTAATTATTAATGTTCATAAAGGTACTTTATGGTAGCTAGACATTATTCACTAGAATTGATATATAGTGGCATATTATATATATATATATATATAGGAATAATGTATGTGAGGATTATTAAATTTTAGAACAAATTGAAATTACCTCCACAATGAACCGGTCCAAAAGCATAATGCTGAGTGAAAAGATCCACTTACTCAAGATGTAAGATCTCCAAATCTTTGTCCCCTGGGGGAAGGAGCAGTGATTAGAGTGGAATAGGTGGGCTTCTGAGATGTTATTTCATGATTTGGATCTCATTCATGAAAAAATGAAGAGTATATATGCTGTCTTCTGTATATTCTCTACTTCAGTTAAAAAGTACCATAAAAAAACTGGGGACGGGAAGGTAACTCAGTAAAGTGCCAGAACACACCAAAACATGGCTGGGCATGATACAGCCTGGTCTCTCTCCCATTGCTAGGTGTGCATGGTTGTCAGGTGACTGGACATGGGCAGACTTCTTCTGTTCCTTATCCAGCCAGTTTAGCCTACTTGGTGAGTTTCAGCCAGTAAGATACCCAGTCACTAAATAAAATAAGACGGTGATATCTCCTGAGGGGTAACTCCAGATGTCTTCCTCTGGTCTCCATACGCATGTAATAATATGTGAACATGCACACACACATCAAAAAAAAGTTTCTTGAAAATCAAGTGGAAAGTAACACATGTTATGTTTATTTAGTTGGGGATGAAGGACAGAAAGCCAGGAAGAACAAGCAGGAAGTTTTTCCTACCCTGGAAACCGTGTTCACGAAACTCCAGCTCCTCTCATACTTTGATCAACATCAAGTGACATCTCAGGTAGCCATTCCGGGCTGTTTTGCCACGCGTTTTGAATATTTCTCCTTCTTTAAAAATCTCGAGCAGTGTACTTTGAGCCTTGATTTTTATAAATGCTCCTTATAGACCTGGAAGCCTCTCAAGCTTCATGTTTAAGTCTCAGGTTGCCTCCTTCAACATATGTTTATATTCTGTAAGTATTTTTTTCTTCACAATAATCAGCAATATGCAAAAATAATAATTATAATTGTAATAATAATTATATAATAATCATAATAAAATAATTCCTAATGTACTTACTTTATGGCATGCTGACCCAATATCATCACTGTTGACGAAGGGGAAACCTGTTGATGACTTAATTAAAACATTGTGAAACTGAGAAGGATCTATTGTTCTTCAGTTAATACTTCCTGGTGTCTGGGGATTAACACATCTGGGTGCTTCTCCTTTGGGGTCACTAGTATGTGATTATATTGCAATTCATTTTACTTTTTTAAATTACGATTATAAGAATGCTGATTTGTAAATGTTTTGATTTCTGTGTAAACACGTTCTAATTTCTAAGTAGAATCCCATGAATTCATATTTGTTACTTTAAAAATCAAACTAATTTATCTACCTGCAGCATCATGCAGATGGTGGTTGTGTGACTTTCCTTGCTTTTATCTGAGCAGATCTCTAACAACGTGCTGGAGCAAATCACAAGCTTTGCGTCTGGAACATCCTATCACCTGCCTCTGGCTCATCATATCCAACTCATCTTTGATCTCATGGAGCCGGCACTGAACATCAATGGACTAATTGACTTTGCAATACAGGTGTCAAAAGACTGCCTTTCTCATATTTAGGAAAGCAAATCTACCAAACATTAAAGAGCATGTTTCTTTAAATTTTCTATTTATTGATCTGAAAATCCCTCTATTGTTCAGCTGTTCTGAAGCCTCCATCTGAAGCGACCTCACTACTCAGTATCTGAGTACCTGAGTCAGCTTGTGACCTGGCTTAAATTTATTTTTTTAGATTTATTTTATTTTATGTAGATGGGTAACTTGCCTGCATGCATATGTTCACAGTGTGTGTTCCTGGTGCCTATGGAGTTCAAAAGAGGTCACTGGATCTCTTGGAAATGGAGTTAAGATGCTTGTGAGACACCATGTGGGTGCTGGGTACTGAACACTATTTTCTCTGTAGTAGGATTTATTGGTGAAAAGCAAAAATGACTTCTAAAATAGCCCCTCTAATTCCATTTGTCCCGCTGCAGTATGCACATTTTAGGTCATTCCTGTGTTAATGACTAAACATGAGGCGTGTTTTTCTGGTGTACAGTAGCTTCTAGCTTTATAAATAAGAAAAGAACAAAATCAAAAGGAAAATGAAAAGAATTGGTTTGTTCTTTAAAATGACCCAGTCCAGGATGTTGGGCCATCAGAAAGTTTTTAGTAACCATTTCAGTACTGTTTACATCCTGGGTTTCTACAAGCCAGTGTCTAGACAGAAGAACGTTTGTTTAAAGTAGAAAAGGCTTAAAAGTAAATAGTGGCAGAAACGAGTGTGTTTCCTGAAGCCATGTGCCGAATGACTGCATTGTGGTTCAGTGAAGGGTTTGCCTGTTATTTTGTCACCTACATTTCTTTCTCTTGCTTTTCCTGTTGTAGTTACTGAATGAACTGAGCGTGGTTGAAGCTGAGCTGCTCTTGAAGTCTTCTAGTCTGGCAGGAAATTACACTACAGGACTGTGTGTCTGCATTGTGGCTGTGCTCAGGAGGTATCATAGTTGCCTGATCCTAAATCCTGATCAGACAGCCCAGGTGTTTGAAGGGTACGTATATAAGTGGCATTGTTTTCTTCTTTCCTAATCTTAAAAGGAAATAAAATGTAGTGATTTTTAGAGAAAGATGTAGTGATTTTTAGAGAAAGATTGTACTGTGTTAATAAGAAATATTTTGTTTTTAGGCAGTTGGTTTGAAGTAGTTTCTTAAATTTTCTTTTTCTTTATTCTCTCTACAATGCATCCTGACCTCATCCTTCCCTCCCTCCCTTCTCTTAGTCGCCCCTACTTCTTCTCTCCCCCAGATCCATTGCTCCTCCATTTCCTTTCAGAATAGAGCAGGCTTCCCAATGATATCGTGTGAACACGGCATAACAGGATGCATTTAGACCAGACACAAACCCTTATTTTAAGGCTGGGCGAGGCATCCTAGAAGGAGGAAAGGGGTCCTGTGAGCAGACAAAAGAGTCAGAGACACCCCCACTCCCATTGTAAGGAATCCCACAAAAAAAAATTAAACAACTTGGGTACCACTTATTTTGACATTTTAAATGTCTTATTAAATGTCCAATGAAAACATACCTAAAAATAATTTTCCCCAAACTGATTCCTAAGGAAGGAGCTATAAATACAGGAAGTGTGTATGGTTGCCTCTTTGTGTACTTGCTACTCTCTTCATCTGGTCAGTCACAGCCCTCTTCTCTGTGCTGTCCTGGAGCATGGTTACTGAGAGCAGTGAGCACCATAACTGGTCACCTGTCTTCTTCAGCTTACACAAGGACTTCTTGAGTTTTGCATGCAAATGGACGGAAATAGAAAACACCATCCTGAGCGAGGTAAGCCAGACCCAAAAAGAGGAACATGGGATGTACTCACTCATAATTGGCTTCTAGCCATTAATAAAGGACATTTGAGCCTATAATTCGTGAGCCTAGAGAAGCTAAATAAGAAGGAGAACCCAAAGAAAAACATATCATCATCCTCCTGGATATTAACCTTCATCAGGCGATGAAAGGAGACAGAGACAGAGACCCACATTGGAGCACCAGACCGAAATCCCAACAATCCAAATCAGGAGCAGAAGGAGAGAGAGCACAAGCAAGGAACTCAGGACCACGGGGGGTGCACCCACATACTGAGACAATGGGGATGATCTATTGGGAACTCACCAAGGCCAGATGGACTGGGTCTGAAAAAGCATGGGATAAAACCGGACTCGCTAAACATAGCAGACAATGAGGACTGCTGAGAAGTCAAGAACAAAGGCAATGGGTTTTGATCCTACTGCACATACTGGCTTTGTGGGAGCCTAGGCAGTTTGGATGCTCACCTTACTAGACCTGGAAGGAGATGGGAGGTCCTTGGACTTCCCACAGGGCAGGGAACCCTCACTGCTCTTTGGGCTGATGAGGGAAGGGGACTTGACTGGGGGAGGGGAGGGAAATGGGAGGCGGTGGCGGGGAGGAGGCAGAAATCTTTAATAAATAAGTAAGTTAATTAAAAAATGCCAAAAAAAAAAACCCCAGCTTGGTATTGGCATAAAAACAGAGAAGTCTACCAACGGAATCAAATAGAAGACCCGGATTTTAACCCTCAATCCTATGAACACTTCTTTTTCAATAAAAGAGCTAAAAGAAAAAAAAAAAGAAAATATTGGCAAGTATTTCACTAGAGAAATGGTGCGGGATTACAAACCATGTGACAACTCATTCATTGTCATTAAACGTGATCACCTGTATAATTCACAAATAAACTGCTAAGTTATCTTCAAATCCTTAAGAGATTTAATATTTTTAAATTTATGTTAGTAGTAGTAGTAGTATTTGGTAGCAATCACTCATAGGAACAAATTTCCTGTTTAATTTGAATTAGATGATAACCTGGATATTAATCATACAAGGCACTAATAACAAGAACTCTAAGTAAAAGCTATTGGCATATGCAAAACTCAGGGATTTTACTTATGTGTGTGGGTATGCATGCATGTATGTATGTCAATTTTTTGAAACAGTTTCTCTGAATAACTTTGGTGCTTGTCCTGAAACTATTTCTTTTTGACTAGACTCGCCTTAAACTTAAAGAGATCCACCTGCCTCTGCCTCCCTAGTTCTGGGATTAAAGGCCTATACCACCACCACCTGACTATTTCTCTTAAGATAGTAAATAGTGCCAGGTGTGGTACCACATGTGTTTAATCCCAGGGCTGGGGGGCCGAAGAAGACTGATCTTTATGAGTTCTAGGCCAGCCTGGTTCAAGGACAGAGTTAGTTCCAGGACAACCAGAAACCCTTGTCTCGAAAAAAACAAATAGAGAATAAACAGTGATGTTTTGAATGAATAATTAAAAAGCTGAGGAGTCCATATAAGTTCAAAAATTAGTAAACAAAATTAGTGTTACTGCTATACTAAATTTACTCTCTGGGTCACAGTGAGTAAATACTAATGTATCTATGATAAATGATTAGAAACAAGAAATAAAAACCATCTAGAAAGCATGAAAACCCCAGGATAGCCAAAACAATCATATACAATAAAAGTAATTCCGGAGACATTACCATCCCTGATTTCAAACTCTATTACAGAGCTACAGTATTGAAAACAGCTTGGTATTGGCATAAAAACAGAGAAGTTGACCTATGGAATTGAATAGAAGACCCAGATATTAACCCACAAGCCTATGAACACCTGATTTTTGACAAGGGATCTAAAAGTATACAATGGAAGAAAGAAGGCATCTTCAACAACAACGAAAAGAAAAGAAAAGAAAAGAGCTTGGTATTGGCATAAAAACAGAGAAGTCGACCAACGGAATTGAATAGAAGACCCGGATTTTAACCCTCAGTCCTATGAACACTTCTTTTTCGATAAAGGAGCTAAAAGAAAAAAAAAATATTAGCAGATATTTCACTAGAGAAATGGTGCGGGATTACTAACCATGTGACAACTCATTCATTGTCATTAAACATGATCACCTGTATAAGTCACAAATAAACTGCTAAGTGAGGTGAAAGGTCCTTGGACTCCCCACAGGGCAGGGAACCCGGTCTGCTCTTTGGACTGATGAGAGAAGGGGAGTTGATTGGGGGAGGGGGAGGGATATGGGAGGCGGTGGTGGGGAAGAGGCAGAAATCTTTAATAAATAAATAATAAAAAATAAAAAAGTCTTCTTTTAAAATAAAGGAAGTGAAATTAAAAAAGAATCAGACACATAAGCTTTATGACACATTAGCACTGCAGAAACATGGTCATCGTCTTCCTAATTAACAAAAGTTGTCTGCTTGTGTCTAATAGGCAAGGGTTCATTCTACTGTCCCTTGTGAGGTTGGGCTGAGGAATGGCCCAGTGTTTCTGCAACAGACTGAGTTTAAAGGACCCAAGAAATGTGAGGAGCTCTTGATAACTTTGCTGCCTACTCCCCACCTGCTTTTCTAGGCCCCTTTTTAAGAAAAGACAGCCTGTTCATTTCTTTTCTTCCATTTCTTCATTTGTCGTTTTGGTTTTTTTTTCTCTGTAACCTAACTCATGCATTTAATTTATGAACAGTATTTCTTGAGTGGCACCAGTTTTACAGAGGCTTTTTTTTTAAAAAACCAAAAGACGTTTGCATTATTAATCATATGTCTAGTTTAAGAAGTAGAATAGTAAAAATCTACAGACTTTGAAGTGTGAGGAACTATGTGTATATACAATTCTGTGGGGTTTTTTAATATCGTTTAACAGGTGCAGAGTTTGAAGGTAATGTGCCTAACATCACACAACTAATAAACCTTGAAAACTTTTACAAGTATTCTTAATTTTTTTTCAAACAAGATTTCTCTGTATACAATTTCTAGCTGTCCTGGAACTCGCTTTGTAGGCCAGGCTGGTCTCAAACTCACTGAGATCTGCCTGCCTCTGCTTCCCAAGTGCTGGGATTAAAGGTGTGCACCACCACCATTTGACCCATTCATTCAATTTTAAAATAAAAATTCGTACAATAACTCGTTCATGGTCATGGACTCATAGTGAGTTAGATTTATACAGTCTTCTGAATGGTACAGAGCGCTCCACTACGCACGGGGGAACCTCATCTCCCCTTTCCTCTCTCTGAACAAGTCACTTCTCCTGATAGTCTTCTCTGTACAATCGGGGTGGTGAGTTGGAAGATTATTAAATCCGTTTTAGGGTTTGAGTCATCTGTGACACTGTTGGTGACGTGTTACACAGAGTCCTGTGTCAGATCCTTGTTGGTGGTGAAGTCAGACGTGTATGGATGGATCATAGGTGTTCTCGTCTATGCCCTACTGACATTCGCGTTATATGAACACAGAAGTCATGGTTTTGAATTGGAGGAAAATTACTGCAATATTGATACTTTGGAGATAAAGGCATTATTTTAAAGGCTGCCTCTGAAGAGAATGGACTTTCATTGTTTAGATAAGGTAAACCAAGATAAATTTGCCTGTAGATAGGATAAATAAGAGGAATGGGATTCCAAAGTATGACTGCATCCAGCTCAGCAGATTCCCTGCATTGAAGAATTGTTTCTTTCCTAACTAGTGTGCTTGGTAGTCTTTGCTACCTGATTGAATTTGTGAAGCTGTATGGCCTTGGCCTGTCCTGCCTACTCTTTCCTCGTGTGTTCTAGTCACAGCAGCTACGTCCTCTGTGCATTCTAGCGCTGGGAAACCCCTTGCATTACTTCTGTTTTCCTAAACCTGTCTAGTATTCAGCATAACCATATTGGTGTTTAATAAATTAATATTTTTGTGAACAATGAGGTCCTTTTTCTGCTGTGTGATACCTATTTCCAGGTTCTAGGTACATACCCTCTCGCTTTAAAGACTTCCTCAGCTACTCACACACTATCAAGACGTGCCGTGTTTTTATTCCCATGTCTCTGCCCTCAGGTTGTGTGGCGTGGTGAAGCATGTTGTCAACCCCTCAGAATGTTCTTCCCCTGAAAGGTGTATCCTGGCCTACCTCTATGACCTCTATGTCTCATGTAGCCACCTCAGGAGTAAATTTGGAGACCTTTTCAGGTGAGCAGGAAAAAAAGTAAAACAAAAAAAAAACAAAAAAAAAAAAAACCACCACCACCAACAAAAAACGACAGACATGACCATGCCTGAGTTTGTTAATAATCCCATGCTGTTTACATTTTAAGTACTAATGCAAGCTAATCTAAAGTATGTGGTCTTCTCGTCTCCATTAAACAGAATACTAAATACCTTGTGGTGATAAGTATAAGAGTGGTTAAAGGATTTTTTTCAGTCCACAGGTGAGAGGGATCACATCACCCATGAAGAGTTCCCATTCTTCTAGAAGTTTTAGATAAGCAGTGTTGAAATCAGGGGCACCAGCAGGGTAGGCATCACAGGGGCTGCGTGCCCTGTCCTCAAAACAAACAGGACAAGAAGGCAGCTTTCTTGGGCTGTTGTGTAGTCAGAGCTCTGCGCGGGGGTTAGGAAAAGCATTTAAAAAGAAGCCAAATGTAAAGGGAGATTCATGTTAGTACAGCAGTAAGCAAAGTTTTCATAATTGTGTCTAAAGCACCATAAAGTTGTGTAGAAGGAAATTTGGTGAGAGACACAACGCTAACCATTTCTACCAAGGCTTGAGCTCCTATGTGCTGAGCACTGTGCTGGTTTTCCTGTTAAGGTTTTCGAAGTGTCAGAATCTCAGGAAGTGGAAGTGAGTTTCTTTCCTCACAGACTTTTGCTCCTGATCTTGACGTGCAGTGAAGCCCGGATTTAACCCAGTTTTCTGACCTCCGGGCATTCATTGCTTTCCTTACACTGTCAGGTTTTTCTGAGACACACAATTACAGGAGGAACGCGGCTGAGTGTTTGGCTTCCTTCCCTGTGTGTAGGCAGCAGAGAGTGGGAAGAATGAGAGAAGAGTCCTAACGGAAGCCAGCATGCTCTTGACACACAGAGGGGCCTCTTGGAAAGTACAGCCAAGGAGATAAGAAGCCTAGATAGGAACGGTCCGGAGACCAGGTTGGAGTTTAGAGAAGTTCGGGTGTCCGGGCACTCCAGAGAATTTGGAATTTAGTGGCCAAGTGGAGTGGATCTCAAAAAGAAGGAAAAGCAATGTTGTCTGGGCTTCTAAGATTTGGTAGATCTATGTGTCACCTAATAACAGAACTTTCTTCTGCCAGAAATTTGATTTCTCCCACCCTACAAATTCCTGCTACATAGCAGAGCTCTCGGGTAGGAAAGGGATGCTACTTAAGGATTTATGATTCATAGCAAGAGGGCATGAATAGCTGAGCTCGTATGAATTTGAAACTGTGGCATTAAACCATTGCTTCTCCTGTCCATAAAGAAATGATGGATAATACATTCTAATTCTCTTTTATTACCAGTATTTTACATCTACTCAGATGTAGCCCACTGTAAATTCTCGGTAGGGTAGGCTCTGAAAGTTGTTTGTTTCAGAAAAGACTAGAAATACAGGATCCAGTCCCAGCTCGCCTGTAACTTATAGCCGTCTTTTTCCTCAAGTGCTGGAATTATAGGAGTTTAATGCTATGCGCAACTATGTTACCTGTTTTTCCTGTTGCTGAGAAACATGGTCTACATTTTTATGATGTAACAGTTTTATACGATAAAATATATTATCTCTATGGAGACTGTGAGCTCTGAAAGCAGGAGGTTCCCCTCTACCTGACACAACTGTGGACCGGTGCCCACAGCAGCTTTGACACAGGAGCTACCACTGGGCATGCTCTACATACCCAAAAGAATAGGGTCTGGGTTTGCAGTTAGTATTAAAACACTACATTATTCCCCGTGTGTAATTGGATCCATTTTTATTCTTCGGTTATAATACTTTACAGCTGCTCTTAAGAAAGAGACAGTTAGGTGGCTTAGTAAATGCATTGATGTTTTGAGTGCATATACATGTAGAAAAGATTTAGAAAATAATTAAGTTTAGTAACTAAATACCTCATCTTGTTTCCGCATATAAATTGAAAAACTCTTCACTGAGCACTTACTGCATCCTAGAGTTTGTACCTACTGCTGGTTTACAGAGAAATTGAAATGAGCAATAGTAGGATGTGGATTGTCTAAGAAAGTCTTCGCGTTGTTGCCACTCTGCATGTCCTTCACTGAAGTGATTTTCTTGGGTGTTTCGTTCTTTTTTTTTTTCCTTTTGTAACTATTTTTTCTAACCTTAGTAGTGCCTGTTCAAAAGTAAAGCAGACCATATATAATAACGTAATGCCTGCAAATTCCAACTTACGCTGGGATCCAGACTTCATGATGGACTTCATTGAGAATCCCTCAGCAAGAAGCATCAACTACTCGATGCTGGGCAAGATCCTCAGTGACAACGCTGCTAACCGGTACAGCTTTGTCTGCAACACACTGATGAACGTGTGCATGGGCCACCAGGATGCCGGCCGGTGAGCTGCTTTGCCCTGAATGCCGCGGTAGTCGAGGAGGAGTTAATTTGATGCTTCCTTAGTTTCCTGAGCTCATATTTGCTACCCTGCCGTGTCTTAATTAATTTCCTCAGCCCAAGCAACATTGATTTTTGGACTCATGGCTTGGAAAGGGATATCTTTTAGTCATGCTCCATTTTGAAAACCACATACAATTTTGAAAATAATACTATATTTTGATATGAACTGTACTTGGGCCTACTTACATTACTTAATGTCTTTATTTATCCTGGTGGGACTAGGGATTGAACCCAGGATTTGGCACACCCTAGGCCTGTGTCCTTAATGTTTGATTCCTATGAAATGTAAAAGTATAGATCAAATTTATTCATAGAATCAAAAATATGTTAATTCATTTGTGCTAATTATATGTTACTTGGCAAGCGGTATTAATTATATCCTTAAATCTAAGTGATGCTTAATGAAACGTATTCAATAAGGAAAAAATGTTATTACTCCTCATGTATACCAAAACACTTTCTGCTGTCTTCTTTCTCTTTTCTAGGATAAATGACATAGCCAATTTCTCCTCTGAGTTAACTGCTTGCTGTACAGTTCTTAGTTCGGAGTGGCTGGGGGTTCTGAAGGCTCTTTGTTGTTCTTCAAATCATGTGTGGGGATTTAATGATGTACTCTGCACTGTAGATGTAAGTTTTCTCTTTATCTTAAAACCAAAATCTAAAATTTAGCTGATCGTTCTTCCCACTTAATCAATTATGCTGTAACAAAGCAAAATATTTTTTCTGTTTCTAAAAGTGATAAACCATAGTGTCATAACCATGAATTAAATAAATTTAATAAAATCAAAATAAGTAGAAGGAACTCTTAACATGTTCTAGCGACTAAAGTTTTACATGTGAATTGTCTCAGAGCTGTTTCATTCTTTTCTGGCTTGGATTCCTCAGATTAGGACATAAAGCGTTTCATACATGAAGAGAACCAGCATATATTTGAGAATATATAGATGTTGTTATTTTGGATAAGTCATGTGTAGACTCAGGATATTCAGTGTTTCTCAGAATATACCTGTAGAATCATAGAGAGATTGTCCAGATCATGTGGATGACTTCCTGGTGTTCCACGTTGCACCAGGATGTATATGTCTTAATCATCTGTCTGGACTCTTCATCCACTGACGCTTTTATCATTGGTGATCTTCGTCAGACCTGTGTGTGTGTTACTAAGAAAACCTGACAGTTTTAAAGCTGAGATTCACTTCCTGTTGCTGCTGTCTCAGGATGGAATGGACAGCCCTGCCTCCTTATCTTCAGTCTGTGAATTAAGATATTTTTTATACAAAATACATTGTGATAGGCTGCTTTTCCATACAACAAAGACTTAGATTTTTTTTTCTTAAATCTATGTATGTGGCTTGTTGCACCAAGTACCAATCTCTTGGAAGCTTGCCAGTGGGGTAGTTGTGTTCCCTGAGTATTCTCTTCCAGTGCCTTGTGAGATCTGGAATGTAGAGATTTCACTGTGGCAGAATTAACTTTTCTCTCCTTTCTCTCATTGCTCTCTTGAAATTTAGCAGCCAATTGAAAACTTTCAGAGATCTTTTAAAATGAATTCTCTCACATGAAAAAAGAATACATTAGTGTAGCAGGAAAGAGTGCTCATATTTTAGTGGGTCATGTATTCCCACTAGGGGAGTCCTCTCCTGCTTTCTGCTTTGCCCATAAATGACACGGTGCATTCCGTTGGCAACTACCGATAATGACACATCTTTCAGCAGCTTCTTGATTTTTTGCTCTCGTGTTGTAGTTTCTGAGTTGCATGCAAATGAGTCATAGGTCAGCATCGGCCTAGAACCTTGGGATATGAGTAAACTCGCTTTGTCTTATTGTCATGGCGATGTGCCCAAGAAGGCAATAATCAAAGCCGTCTCCCTCTGTTGGTTCTTACTGAGTTCTTACTGAGATTTGAGATCTTACTGTGTTGCCGGTATTCTCTTAGATAGTGGTCTTGGATGTGCCGCCCTCAAGGGTGTTGGGTATTAAAACCTGTCCATGTTTTTCTTAAAGGTGAGTGACCTTTCGTTCCATGATTCATTAGCTACTTTCATTGCTATCCTGATAGCACGACAGTGCTTCTCCCTGGAGGACGTCGTGCAACACGTCGCTCTTCCCTCTCTCCTAGCGGCAGGTAAGCTGGCCTGGAGCTGCTGCTGCGTCTGTTGTGGCCGCTGCTTTGTGGCCGCGTGTGAGCATTTTAACACAGGGATTGGGGGGGGGCATGGTGCCTGGTGAGGGAGGGCATAGCTGTAATAGGTGTTTTATGCAGAGAAGCAATGAACTCCGCAGCAGGAACCTGCTATTGCTTTATTCTTTTGTTCAAGGCAGCATGAAGGTTCCTTTGAAAAGGTATAACTAATGACCTTACTAAAAGGAGAGTTTACTTACTGCATTACTGAAATTTTAGCAGTAGAAAACCTGAAAAGCTTGTTGTGTAGCATGTGAGGAGCCTTGCTTTTCATCTATCTCCCCCTTTACAGCTTGCGGAGACGCGGATGCTGAGCCCGGGGCAAGAATGACATGCCGCCTCTTGCTTCACCTCTTCCGAGCTCCCCAGGCCTGCTTTTTCCCTCAAGCAACAGGTGAGCTGACCTCCGAGAAAGCTCTGCTTCTGTGGTTATTTGGAACTTTTGGCTCTACTGCGACCACGGGAGCTATCCAGTTTATAGTTTCCTCCCTGATTTCCGTGGGCTTGGTCTTCAGGTGATGGAGGACAGAGATAACGCCCCTCAGAGATCTGGCAGCGCCTTCCGTTATGTAATAGGAGGATATATTGGGAAATAAAAATGGGGAATTAATAAACAATAAAAATGCCTGGGCTCTGAGGAAATACCATGCTGGTGGGAAGTCTCATCCTCCTACATACCCCGTGTTGATTCTGGGGCATGCCATCTCAGCTTAGGGGGATGACAACTCATTTATTTACTTTGTCCTACGGCGATGGGGGGTATTAGTGAAGGCTTGTGCTAAATCATTTCCATAGGGAGAGGGCTGCATCTGTGTGGGAATCCGACGAATCTTTTCCTCCATCTCTCTGAGGAGCAGCAACATTGTTTTAATAATAATTAAAGAGAAAAGGTTAAGTAAGAATACTGGCAGTGTTTCTCGGTGATTCTCTGGAGCACCAATTAAAGCTAACTGATGTCAGTTAAGTGTCCACAAGCTAACCACGAAAGACCTTCCTGACTGTAGATGGTTACAGAGGATGGTTAATGATGGAGGGGCCATTAAAGGTCTGTTGTTATTTTCATAGGCAAACCTTTTCCTGGAATAAGATCATCTTGTGATAGACACCTCCTAGCCGCCGCTCACAACAGCATAGAAGTGGGAGCCGTCTTTGCTGTCTTAAAGGCAATTATGATGCTTGGTAAGACTCTCCCGGCCTTCAGCCTCTTGGTTAATCACCAGAAGTGGAGGCAAATCATTTATATTCATGGTGGAATTTACATACTGTCATGAAAACCTGGGTTTTTTGTTTGTTTGCTTGTTTGTTTGTCTGTTTTGTTCTGGGGGAAGAAAAGAAAAGTTGGCTTTGCCTAAGTCTAAGTAATGGGAGCTTCAAGGATTCTGTCCCTTGGCTAAGGTGACCCTGAGAGAACTGAAATATAAGTACTTTGTATTTGGTTTTAATTACATGATAATTCATTCTGATGCAGATCAGGGCCTCAGACCCACAGCATTGTTTTGCCTTCATTTACCGACAGAAATCACTCTTCATAGTAGGCAGGAATAACAATATTTTTAGTAAAATGTTTAAATTTCAGCCAGATTATATTCCAAGTGCAGAACACCAGAAAACCTGGGTGTTGATCTAGTGTTCCTGCTTTTTTGTGACAATGAACAAGTTTGTGTCATCCTGCTGTACGCTTTCCCTGAAGAAACAGGTGCATCCACCGTGATGCTTGCATTGCTAGGGATCACTAGGAGGTGCACAGGCTTGAGACCTAGTTAACAATGCCCAGGAAGCCCTTTACAATCTTAACTGTGCATATTTTGCTAGAGCAATAGTACCACTTTCTATTCATGGGCAGTGAAACACCTCAGAATATTTTAAGTGTGTAAATCATAAAAGATTTGAATGATTATGGGATCTCAAATACTTCCTACTTTTAGCTTTGGGTATCTCATCTCATTTTGACCTCAACCAAACTATAGTTTAAACTTCTTGTTTGAAAGTAGTTCAAGGGAATAGACATACCAGTTTAAGTGAACATTGCTAGACAGATTTTATTTGTGAATGACAAAGAAGAATAACGTAGTCTTCATAAAAAACAATTAAAACCAGTATGTGTGTGTGTATAAAAGAAAATGTATTTTTTTTTGTTTTCCCCAGTAGTGTGTTAACTAGATAATGTTGACCATACTCTAAGATAGGTATCGTGTCCAAGAACGGTTGGCCAACATAACATGAACTCTGTTTTTTATTGTGTACTATTTGTTTTCTTTTGCTATATTTATTTTATCTTATGGTTTTCTTTAGATTTTCATTTTTTGAGAGAGAGAAAGGGCATGAAGTTGGATGGGTATGGAAATGGAGAGGTTCTGGGAGGTGTTGGAGGAGGGGAAAGAATATGATCAAATTTTTTGTATGAAAAACTTTAAATTAGAAACAGCCATACTTTTCTGAGCTAGTCATGAATTTTGTAGTAAAACAAAAGGTAGTCCTACCAAGAAGGTTTCAGCCTGTTTCCAGGCTTAGGATCATATAGGATTATGTAGTCCATGCTAACTACTGGTTTCAGTCAGTATGATTTCTCTGATAATGTCTGAAGGGAGGGAGAACTGGTCTACCTCACTGATTAATACTTGTCAGGGTCATAAAGGCAGGATCTGGATTTCCTCTGGGCTACTCTAAATCCAACAGAGAAAATGGAAAATAGATTTTTAATGAACTTACATTGGAAGAAGTAACATGTTTCAGCGGTGTACACAATGACCAGTCTCATCTAGACAGTGGCCCCTTGTTTGTAGAGCTGGGATAATCCCAGTAAGACTGCCAGGTTTTTTAGATATTCAAATAATGTGGGAGGTTCGTCGTCTGAGAAATTATGATCAGCACAGTTAAATGTCAGTGAAGACTTAGACAGATTCACTCAGGATATTTAGTTTGTTTTGTTTTCTATACTACTGCAGAAGGTACTAGAATCAAGGTAGTAGACTTCAGTCCTCCTAATATCTAAAGGGAAAGGAGATGTACAAGTGAGTCTAAGAAACGTGCTTGTTTTTGCTTTTACGGAGAGGTTTTATCTACTTTATTAGTCCTAACCAATTTTCTCCTAATTCTTATCTACCAAAATATATATTAAGGCAAGAAAATAGGACGGTTATAGTGGATGTTGTTCCCAGTTTACATAGTAGTCTAACTTGAGATAGACATAGCTATTTGTATCATCCAAGAGTAGAGAATGCAGACTTCTGCTAGTTTTGAGAAGCTCTGGTGAATTAAATCAACTCCCTTAGGTAAAGCCACCATTTCTTACATTTTAAAATACATGATGAATATATAATAATACATTGGCGAATTGAAGTGTATTGCTTATTTTTCCCTCTATGGATTTTTTTGCTTTGTCACTGTGTGGTAGGAGCAGTGGCAACAGTGCTGGGGATAGAGGCTAAGGTCTCATGCGGGCAAAGCAGGTACTCTGCCAATCAATGACAGCCTCGGCCCTCTTCTGCTTCTGTGATTGTTGGAAGTAGATATTAATTAGGACATTATGATTGCCCTTCCTCCTCAGAACAGAATTACAGTTTATGTTTGTTTTTTTCAGCAAAATCAAAACCTTATGAGGGTTGGCCTTGTGTTTAAGAGTGCTTGTTGTTGTTTGTTTGTTTTTTTTTGCACTTTCCTAGACTTGCTCCCATTCTGCATATAGTAAAGGCCTTCCTTAAACTCAGCTGCTGGTTTGACAACTGTCTCATCAGAGCTTGTTCTGCTGCTGTCTGGCAGTCGCACCACCAAATTATCTCTTTCCTTATCTCACTTTAACTTTTTTTTTTCTTCCAGGGCTTGAAATTTCTTATTTTATCTAAGTACACCCTGAGTGTTTTTTTAATTTTTCTCGCAGAGTTTTGTTAGTAGTCAAATACCTCCCTTAGCTTCATCGCACTCAGTGTGTTAGTGATTGGTTAGCGGTAAGGTGTCTGAGCTGGATGCTACAGAGAGGAAGGTGAAGACGCAGGCTGTGTGCAGAGAGCTCTGCGTTCCAAGGCCTCCTTAGTATGCATTGCCCTTTTCCATCCTCAGGGAAATAAATCTCTCTTGTCAAGCCTTGATAGTAAGGTGGGCTAAGGCAAAAAACTTTTCTCTTGACCTATGGATAGAAAATAAATCATTGTAAGAGAAGAAATGGAAAAGGGACTCCTTGAAGGGTGAGTACCCCATCTTCTTCCTTGTCTATAACTCAGGTACACCTGAGTACATTCATGCCTGAAGTTTCCATGAAATCAATGTGTTTTGACTATAAAATATCATTCATATTGGCCTTTCCAAGACTAACAAAAGAAATATTAACCCTATAGACCAAGAGAAGGGATGAGTCTGAGTTTTCTCCATGTCCGCTTGTTCTGTTTTCTCTCATCTATCTCTTTGTCCGTTCTTTCTGTTGCTGGACAGCTGGCTATACAATGCGATACCATCCACATCTTGGAATCCCTGAGACCCAGCCTCATTTTCCTGTTGCATGTTTGAGGCAGTATTCTGAACTTCTGTGGTTTTGCCTTTGTGGTTCTGTCATTTAGGAGATGCCAAGATTGGCAGTAACAGTGTCACCACTTTAAAGAATGAAGACTTCGGCATGAGGGGTTTGCGACGCGATGGGAATGCTGAGGACGCCTGGGCCACCTCGCAGAATTCGAAATCCTATGGGAAGAGCATTTCCATAGAAACTGCCAACCTAAGAGAATATGCTAGATACGTACTGAGGACTATCTGCCAACAGGTATTCTTTTGGTTTCAGATGGCTTCTGCTTTGACTCTGTAACTGCTCTTAGGCAACTGTCTGCTGTTTTTTTTTTTTAAATTTATTTGGGTGGTCTTTGTCTTTATAAATTTATTTTGAAATAATTTCAAATTTGTTAAGGAGTTGCAATAATGAATACTTCCAGTATATCCTCTATACAGATTCACTAATTTTGGACGTTTTGTCCATTTTTCTTAACAGTTGAAAAGTAGATGATATAGTTTACTCTGCTTTACTTTTGGATACTTAACATTTTTTATTTTTTGTCATAACCAAAATAAAGTTACTAAAAAATCATAACTCTTAGCTTTGGTGCAATAATTTCTTTTCTCATCTATAAGGAACTTTATGAGCTATTCTAGTACTTTTAGATTTACATAAGGTCCTAAAGATTAACTTCAGATTACTGGCGGGGAGAGTTCAGAGGTGACACTGTTTTATTCCGGGTAAACACGTCGGATTACACACAATGTGCATTCGGCCTGATGGTGGTGCTAGCTTTGATCACAGCAGCTCTAGATTCAGAACTGCTCCACTACACTGCAAGTGTGTTTCCTTCTCCACTAACTAATAATCTGTGGGGAGACACTTTGAGATGGTGTGAACGTTCTGATCCTCATCACACACCTCATTCCTCATAAGCATCAAGGGCAATTCTTGTCTAAAGCAGTCTTTAGTGTAATGGCTGCAAAATGTTGTTTTCTCTCCCAGTTCCTCCTCTCTCTCTTCTCAATATCAGTTTGTGTTGTACAAAGACCTTACCCTTCTTACATTAATGTTAGTTTGTATTTATTTAATTATCTGTGTGCATTATAATATATTGGCCAGAGTTTCATTAATGTCCAACTTATTCTAGACTGGTATATTGGGAATCTCTTCATCCTATCTTTTGTGATATTTGGAGTATTTCTATCCTTTTAAAGGACTTTTTCCTTACTGTATCCATTTCTCATCTTCCCTTCCTCGCAGCTATAATCAGTCACTCTTACAAGGAGTGCTGTTTCTGCCTGTTGGGAGACTGATATTCAGAGAGCAAGGCCTGAGGACTGAGCGATAGATCTGTGGATAGTGTGATTGCCATGCAAGCAGAGAGCCTAGAAATTAGATCCTTATAATTCATATGCATACTGAGTAGCCATGGCAGCCCACCTGTAATCCTGACACTCAGGAAATGTAGCTACAGGATCCTAGAGTCACCTGGCTAGGGAATGTAGCTGAATAGGTGAGCTCTGGGTTAAGTTAACGGATGCTTCCTTCATATATAAGGTAGACAAGGATATGATCCATGAAGGCACCTGACATCAACCTCTGAACTCTACATGCATGGACATTACAGATCTCCCCACAGTGCATGTGCGCGCGCACACACACACACACACACACACACACACAGAGAGAGAGAGAGAGAGAGAGAGAGAGAGAGAGAGAGAGAGAGAGAGAGAAGAATAAGATCGGGGTTGTATATGTTCATTGTTGTAGGGTATTACTACTGTATGTGTGTATAATTATGAATTAATGTTGATACTTCTAGCTCTAATATAATCCTTTAAAATAGTGTTTTACCTTCTCCCAATTCATATGAGTATTAAATTTTTGCAAGTTAACAGTCACATTCCCCATACAGCACCTAAGGAAGTTTCTGAATTGTCCCACATATACCACTAGGAGAAGGGCCTCCTGGGAAAGGCAAAGATTGGTTTGCAGTTTAAGTTTTCTGAAGGGTTTAGGATAATGCATTCAAAGGTTATTTGGAGGGACAGAAAAAAAAAAGAAAAGAAAATGCTTTTGCTAAAAATGATTTAGCCATATTCTTTCTTTAAAAATAGAATCTCTTTTATTTGCCTTTCATGCCTTTGGCTTTTGAGGTTTTTTTTGTTTGTTTGTTTGTTTGTTTTTTGTCCCCCAAAAATGTCTATATCATAATAACATTCACCCAAAACAGTAACCTCTTCCCTGCCCGGCAACTTCTTCCTGTCTGTCCCTGCTCAGATGTCTAGCTGCAGGATTTTCTGTGCATCTTTCCATACTTTCAAAAATCTTTTATTTTAAAAAGTATCAAAATTACATATTTTGTAATTTGTATTAAATGCATGCTTGCTTAGATTTTTTTGTTTTTGGTCTAAGGTAAATTTAAGCAGCTCCACAGTTTTTGAGGGCAATCCTATGCTAATCCCAACTGTGAACACACAGTGGTATCACTGGACTGTTGATGGTTCTCTAGATGCCTGGACCTGGGTGGGGGGTGCTGGCCAGGTATAGGGTCCCAAGAGGGTCTGCTCCAAGTCCTATAGGAGGCTCTGGCCTACACTACAATGCCAGCAGCACCTCCACCCCCAATAAAATATAAATTGATGAGTCAGTAATAAATAATTTGATACCTAGGAAAGCAACACGCCAATATCTGGTATCTGAATGTTATTTAATGCTGCTATAATGGAGCATGGGTTTACATTACCCAGGTGATGTCAGTGAATGGCCTGTGCTGAGCAGCTTATACATTAGTAAAGGAGATGTCATTTGAAACAGATTTGGGTGCAAATTGAACTCTGATGCTGATATTTTCTTATGCCATTTAATAAAAGAAAAAAGTAGTAATGAAAGGATGCTAGTGTCAAGAAAAAGGTAACCTTCTAAATATTTATAAACTGTGTTCTACCTGTTCAGCAGAATGTATCCCATAAAATGATGAGAAGCATGTATAGCATAAAATCATTGTCATTATATATCCAGTAAAAACAAACAACAACAAAACAAACAAACAAACAAAAAACCCTGGCTACAAAATAGTACCTTAAAGTCCTCATTTTAAAACAGCACACCATAACTTAACTCCTGCTCCATAGGTTTAAATGTTTTTGCTTTAATTAGAGCCCCTCCCACTTTGTATTTTTAAGACACCAGAATGTTGGAGTTTTGCTTTGAAGCTTTCCCCATTAGCTGGTGATATAGTTCATTTGATAGTGTGCTTGGTGAGCATGTAGGAAGCCCTGGTAGGCAAGAAGACATGGCATTAAATTTAGGCCTGCCATCCCTGCACCAAGGACAGAAGCAGAAGGAGCAATACTTCAGAATTGTTCTTGGCCCCTTGGTGAACTGGAGGCCATCCTGGAATACCTGAAACCTTATCTAAAAACAAACAAACAAACTCAAAACAACAGTGACAACATAATCAAAATGTATGCACATGCAAACCTTTCTCCTATATTTCCATTAATTTGTTTTCATTGATGGTTCTTACTAGCCTTATATCATTTTGCTCTGAGAAATGAGACCATAATACAGAGACAAGTAGAATTACTATTTACCCGTCTAACTTCTCTTTAGGAGTGGGTAGGAGAACATTGCTTAAAAGAACCAGAACGACTATGTACAGACAAAGAACTTATTTTGGACCCCGTGCTTTCAAACATGCAAGCCCAGAAATTGCTGCAGCTGATCTGTTACCCTCATGGCATTAAAGAGTGTACAGAGGGGGACAACCTGCAAAGACAGCACATTAAGCGCATCCTTCAGGTGAGTGGCACGTTCTGAAGATCCTGTTTAGGTCACTCATCATAATATGGTTGTAGAAAGAACGACCTTGCTGCTGTTTTTCTTTCTTATTCCTGAGTTTAATTCTGCCTTCTGCAGTTTTCTTTATGGTGGCATTGTCGCTGTCGTCTGGTCAGTAGGTATAGTCAACAACAAGCAGCATATAATCAAAAGCAAATATTGGTATTTCAAGTCAGTGCTGTATTTACTTGAGAAATAATCTTTGTGATGGATCATTCTTGAATACGTTATTGAAGGAACACATCATTTTGAAATGAGGTTGGCTCATTGGTAAATGGATTCTGATAGATGCCATGCTTACATGACTTCGGCTCCTAGCTGGATGAGGGACATATTCTGAAGCTTGAGTCTATTTTGTTGTGAATGTTTATTCTATCAGGCATAAGATTGGATGCCCTTAATCCCTGTGAATTCTCTTGCTAGGCATGAGTGTTACTGCAAGCCTAGGGTAGCCTATGCTCTGTATTCTTAATGCTGTAATTCTTTGCCTTTCCTCTAGAACCTTGAGCAGTGGACATTGAGACAGTCCTGGCTAGAACTTCAGTTAATGATCAAGCAGTGCTTGAAGGACCCCGTGAGTATATGCCGAAAGCACACGTGTGAATTAGATTAAAAAAAAAAAAAAAGGCAAGAAGTCATTGAGGCTTGAGAATCAAGGAATGCATAGATGGGCTAGCTTTCTTTCATTTTCCTGACTCTAGAGCTCTGGTTCTGTGGCTGAAATGAACAACTTACTGGACAATATTGCCAAGGCAACAATAGAGGTGTTCCAGCAGTCTGCAGACCTAAATAACAACGCCCCCAATTCTGGCATAAGCCTCTTCAACCCCAACGGTATTGGAAGTGCCGATGCAAGCAGCACGAGACAGAATGGAATAAAGACATTTTTAAGGTATTGCTTTATAGTTTTGTTGGACTACCATCAGCATTTTATATGTCACAGTAGACTCGATTAGCCTAATACATGTTTCATTAAAGGTCTGGAAATGTGAAGGAAATGATTCCTTATAGTTAACAATTCTGTTTATTCACCAAGTTATAGGGAAAAAGTAGGTGAGTGATGTCTTGGCACTTTAGGTATTTTGTTGTAGGTCCAGGTACTTTGGAGCCACAGATGAACTTTGGGTCAGTCATTAGATACGAAACATTCTGTATGTGTCTTTTTTAATTGACAGTTGTGTATAAATATAGTAATTTGTATTCATAATGGAACTTAATAGGGTTATGAAATCATAAAGTAATCCTTTTCATCATGAAAGACAGATTGTTTTGCACATCATCATTTTGGTAAAAGCATATAGATAGTGAGTTTTACAACTTAAAGATTGTTTTTTTTTTCCTTGGCTTGAACACGGTGCCATTGTATATTGTGACCTTGACTGAAAAGTGTCGTGTTCATAGAGAGAAGGGTGGTGAGTGATCAGAAAGGCAGGATCCAAGAGTCACTGAGAAGAGTTGAGTATGCAGAACTCCTTCCCAGAAGAGCACATTTCATTCCTCGGTGAAAGTGGTAGAACGCATAAGCAGTAAGCAGATGTCTGGTCCTTGGCAAGAGGAGAAAGTGCAGGCATGATGGGACAGTTTTAGAAGTCTGCGTCTTACCCACCTGTGGCTTACTGCAGGGTTTCTGTATTGGCTGTGAGAGTAGAGACCAGCTGCTTTGTTAGTGTAACGCCTGTTTCTGATTTTAGTTCCTCTGAACGCAGGGGTGTATGGCTGGTGGCCCCCCTCATCGCCAGGCTACCGACCTCTGTGCAGGGAAGAGTGCTGAAAGCTGCTGGGGAAGAGCTGGAGAAGGGACAGCACCTGGGCTCTTCTTCCAAGAAGGAAAGAGACAGGCAGAAACAGAAAAGGTATGCTGGTAGATACCCTACATCAGGCTAGCCCTGAGGGGAGCGTCCTGCACCACCGTTACCTGTTACACCATATCCAGTGTCCCCAGGACCCACGGTCATTCCATATCCAGTGTCCACAGGGTTTTGGCTTTCAGTGGATTAGGAGATTATCTGTTAAGCAAGACTGCTCAGTGTCCCAGGTCCCATCCCTGCCTGTGTGTCCATATCACTGCGCAGCTATAGAAACACATGGGCTTGCTGTTACTTCTGACCTACCTACCGGACCTTGAAATAACTACTGATTTTCCAAAATTTAGCACCCTTGATCTGGACTCTTGATGAAAAGTAGCACAACAACTGCCAGAACTAATGTTTACTTCATTTATTTTATGACTAAGAAAAGTTTTCAAGTAATTACTTCTGAAAATAGATCATATTGTTGAGGATGAATATTCACACTATAAATTTAGCATCCAAAGAGTTGTTTTTAAAAGTCATAACTTCTTCATTTTATAAAAATTTAAAAATTGAGGTTCTTTTGTCTGTTAATAATAGTGTTAATAATCAATCAGTATGTCCATTGTTCTCTAATTGAAGCTATTTTATGAACATGAAAATTGTAAATAGAATTTTTGCCCCTTTTCCATTGGAGATGTGGGCTATATCAGAGCTCTAAATGTTTCCAGCAAGAACCTTGCTTTTGGAGGCCTCAGACCTTGTGTCCACGCCTGATTGGACCGAGACTATGCTGTTGGCCTTTGAAAAATATACAGCAAAAACCCCCACACGTATCCAAAATAGGCAAGGCTCACAGAGACGTGAACTTCCTAAAGGAGAGTTTTGTCTGAGGAACTTTTTGATGTTTCTTATTAATCTGTGTGCACATTTATAGTCTTCATCATATATAAAAATTTCCCTGGGAGCGTAAAGCAAGGTCATCACATCCAGTGTAGGTTTCCGTTGCTTTGGGAACACCTTCCAGGGCAATAGAGCATGGCCATTCACAAACTCTGCCAGCGGTTTTTAATATTCTAAGTACTGGAATATGTCCCCTTCCCTAGTGTTCTGGGTGGCTTGCCATCCTGTCCTTTATCTAGTAGTAAAAATACAAGAACAGTGAGTCTACCAAAACAAACAAACAACAACAAAACGAACTGTGGGCCCAGAAGGCAAGCTATTCTTTCTAACTGTCACTACTTCCTTTGTAGTATGTCTCTTTTGAGTCAGCAACCTTTCCTCTCCTTGGTCCTTACCTGCCTTAAGGGGCAAGATGAGCAACGGGAGGGCCTCCTAACATCTCTGCAGAATCAAGTCAATCAGGTAAAAATGCAGTGTGTTATTAAGCCAGGCTAGTATCTTTCCAATGGTGTTCATTATTTTCCTTTCAAATACAAGATTAGACCACCATGTCTATCCGTGAGGTGCTAGGAAACACAGCCCGTGTCCAGTTCCGTCTAGCATCGTGGTCACCATAAGGCTTACATATTTATATTAATTATACATGGACGGGTTATAAAGACTCTAAAAATAAGTTGTCTCATACTGCTTATCAGCTAGCTTGTTGATCTCTGTCTCTCCTGCCTGGAATCCTGGGGAGCAGAAGCATGGAACCAAGGAAAGGCCAAGTTGGTGGTGTGAGATGGGTTATCCCGACACGTTCCAGGTGGATCCTGGGATTTGATGACATGACCAAGGCTGCTAGGCTCACTTGGCTTTGTCATCACAGGCACTACTTAGGAGAAGTCTTTTCTCTGTCTAGCTTCCAGAGTGAGCCATTTACATATAAAGCATGTGTGTTTCTCATTATACCTCCACTAGCGATTCCAGGGCTGATGTCGTAGAACCCTTCCTGACTGGGCATTAGCTGTTCCTCCCATCTGCTTTCCCTTTCACTGGAGCCTCTCTGGACCGGGGCTGCCTTCAGGTTTAGGTGCTTGCGCTACAAGGATGCCTCTCAGACCTGCTCTCTACCTTCCTGCTGGTCTCCGTTCACCTCGCCTCAGACTGTGACCACCCTCTAAGTACTTCCACCCTCATTCTTTGTCCCTTTGTTCTCTTGTATTCACATCCTTTTCACTTTTACCCCCCTTTCCTCCGTGCTGGGGTTGAACCTAAGACCGCTTGTATACGAGATAATCTTTCTGCTGCTGAGTCCATTTTTAGCTCATTATTTTGAGATGCAATCTTGCCCATCTCTCTTAGTACCCCAAGTGAGCCTTGAACTTCCAGCCTTTCAGTTTCAGCTTCCCAGTTAGGAGAGGTGATAGGGGAGTTGCACCAAGCTCAGCTTTTGTGTCAGCTCTGTGATAGTGTGTGTGTGTGTGTGTGTGTGTGTGTGTGTGTGTGTGTGTGTGTGTGTCTGCCTCGTTAACCTCAATTGACAGAAGCTGCTGTTGTCTCTATACAATTTAGGACGTATTCTCTTTACTCAGCTTACTTACAGCTCTGTGGCTGATAGTTGTTACCTGTAAAGTGGTTCATTTTTACACACTGCGTGGGGCAAAGGGGAAGAGAAAGTATGCAGGGGTGAGAGAATGCAGGCATAGGGGTGCCAGGACATACAAGTAGAAGGCAGAGGAAAACCCTTGGTCTTGGTGGTTGACTTTAGTGTATTGGCTCCTAACTTGTTTGCCTTTTTTTAGTAAATCCTACCCAGAGCTAGTCTTGAGGAAATGAAGAAGTAGTCCAATTTATAAATTTGGCTGGTCTTGGTCTAAGGGGCTACAAGGGCTACATTTTTTGAAAATAGTATATATATTTTCTTTATCAGAAAAGATTATTTATTAGATTCCAGTAAGATGTCAAATGTGAAACATTTGCTAGGATTTATAGCATGTCTCTAGAAGTATAACATGAGACCAATGAAAAATGGAATTTTGTCTTTTCTATATTTATCTTTATAATACTAAATTAATAGTGTTTTATTGATGCCCCTTTAAAGAATTTTCCACAAAATATACATGTACACATGCATGCATATATGTGTAATTAGGTAACATTTTCTTCCCTCAGCTCTCCAGGTAAATAAATCATAGAATAGCTAGGATTTTGTTTGTGTGGAAGAGAAAGATAAAAAAATATAAAATTTTAACTTTAATTTATTAAAGCTAAAAGATTGATTGTCACTATTACGCAGAACTTTAAACACATAAAAAATGTCATAACAAAGAACCAAGAAATTGTTGTTTTTCTTCTTTTGCTCCTGATCTTAGATTTTAAGTAACTGGAGGGAAGAAAGATACCAAGATGATACAAAAGCCCGCCAGATGATGCACGAGGCTTTGCAGCTCCGGCTAAATCTGGTAAGGACCATGGAGTGGCTCAATCACACCTCTCTCTCTCTCTGTATGAAAACAACACCGGCTTTCAACCTCTTTTGGGGGCAAAATCTGCATGGCAAAGTGAAGCCTTCCTCTTTCGGTCTCTGTACCCACTTCCTTTTCTCTTAAACCTTCTGTTTCCCTTGCCACTTTCCTTCCTGTCTGGATTGTGTTCTAGACAGGCGTGTTGTGAGCACCAATTCTCTTTTCTACCCTGGCTCCTTCCATCTGATCGCTCCTCTGCTTCAGTCCATGCTAAGAGAAGGTCTAAAAAGCCTGTATTTTATCTTAAAACCATAAAATTCATCAACTCAAAACTGTTGATCAGAATTGATTAAATCTGTTGAATTGGTTAGAAAAAGACAAATCTCACAGGTTTTTTTTTTAATAGAAATCTAAAAGTTCTCAAAACATTTTGTATTCCTTTCAGTTTTTTTTTCTTCCTGTTTGACAAATCTCAAATGAAATCTACCCTGGGTATAGATAGCATGCCCGGGTTTTGGCAGCCTAACCTCCACACAGGAGCTGGCAGACCTAACAAACATTTCTGGGGGTATTGTTATGGCAGACTTGGTTGCAATAATAAACAAATATGACAGAATTGCAGGTAATCAGTTCGTTCCTGTTTAGCTTTGATTTATTTGCAGTTATGTTTAAAACTGAATACTATGCAGTATTGATCAGAGAGCCAGTAATGCTCAGGTATTGCTCTTTATGTTAAGTTTTGAATGACTCTGCTGTGTTGAAAGGACCAGAAATAGTGATGAACGCATTGCTGAATGAGACAGACTCCAGAACACGAGCAAGAACCAGTTCTTAGCATCTCTTTCATCTTAACAAATCAACGGTTAGGCACATATAGTAATAGAGGTGATGCTTTAGCCTACAGATGTAAATTCTTTGTTGTATTTCGTATGCCAGGTGGGAGGAATGTTTGACACGGTCCAGCGGAGCACCCAGGGGACCACTGACTGGGCTCTCCTCCTCCTCCAGATCATTACTTCAGGAACTGTTGACATGCACACTAACAAGTATGTTTTTTTTTTTTTTTTTAAAATCCATTTATACTTCTCTGCTGCATGCATGCATGATACAAGCTTTGATATACTGGCGAGAAATTCTGACACTTACTGACTTAGATGCCATCAAAAATTCAGCACTTTCAGTAGAAATGGTTAGATAATTATGTATATCTTGTTTTAAAAGTAAAATGGTTTTCCTTTCCTGTCAGTGAGTTATTCACCACAGTTCTTGACATGCTGGGTGTTTTAATCAACGGGACATTGGCTTCTGACCTATCAAATGCTTCCCCCGGGGGATCTGAAGAGAACAAACGTGCATACATGAATTTAGTAAAGAAACTGAAAGTAAGTTTGTGATGGGCCCCTGTTCTGAAGTTGTTGATGGGCTGGTCTGATTTGATTCCTCATAATGTGATGATTGTCTTGCCTAGGCTTGCCAGTCTTTCAAAGTTACAAGTATGTTATCCGAAAGAATTTTCTCTAAAAAATTATATTCATAAAATGTGTTTAAATTGTAAGGGATTTAGAAATGCGTTATCAAATATCTAACCAAAACTCCAGTGCCAGATTTCGATTAAACCAATGCTTGGATTTGTACAAGCAAGTGAAAAAGAATGGGCACTCGCATTGAATTTGTAACTCTGGCTCCTTTAATAACCCACTGATAGCCCTTGAAATAAACAGTAAGTGAACATGCAAATACACAAATCTAAAGAGTGTATAATAAAATAGCTGATGGTTACCTTGCGGTCTGAGTCTGGGTACGAGGACATTTCCTTGCTGCGGCTCCTGCTGTGTGACTGCAATATTTCTGTCATTTCAGCGTTCTGATAGTCCTCATAACAAGGCTGCCTTTGTGTGTACTCTGTTTGCTACTTGAATAGAAGAAATGAAACATATCACCAGTCTGGTTTGAAGCTGTTCCATAGACTGCATTGAGGGTTAAAAAACATAGTATTAAAAAAAAAAAAAAGGAAATGTGTCATTGGGGAACTTCCTTCTTATGAACTTTTGCATTCATTGTAAAGTCAGAATTTTCATCTCACTTCTCTCTTGCTTTCACGTGTTTTTTCTTTTTCTTCTAGAAAGAACTAGGAGACAAGCGATCAGAAAGCATTGACAAGGTTCGACAGCTTCTGCCTTTGCCAAAGCAGACATGTGATGTCATCACTTGTGAACCCATGGGTTCTTTGATCGATACAAAGGGAAACAAAATTGCTGGATTTGATTCCATCGACAAAAAACAGGCAAGAGAAAATGATTTTTCCCTCATAGATCTAGTTACAGAAGCCGAGTGGCGTTTCTTACATTCTTTGAGGATATACAAAACATCTTAATTTCGTTTCTTAATTTCCAAGAGATTATTTTTGTCATTTAAGCACAATAGCTATTGGCATTATAAGAAGCCATATCCTGAAGGTCTCCATTTAAAATGCTTTTCTGGACATAAATTCATGGAATCTACCGACAAGGTTTTAAGTAATAGCCTAATGTTAAAAAATAAAAGGAAAAACCAATCTGATTTTATTTTAGGATAGGAATCAGAGTATATTTATATAAGAAAATTGGTGTTGATAAGTATTTTAAATTACTGAGCAAGCTTCACTAAGTAAAGCTTCTAAGTGTTACAGCACTGCACATTGTCAATGAAGCAATATTCGGCGGACATTTGCTTTACATAAGATACTTTAGGAAGTTCCTTAACATAGCAGAAGAATGATCGGCTCTTTTTTCAAAGACCACAGAGTGACCATTGTCACTCTGCAGCAGAGAAAGATGGTTGGAGGGAATCCCTGCTCTGAATGGGAAGTAGATGCACATTCCGCCGTAATGGGATCTGTGGGCCATGGTCTAGAGAGGACTAGGAGGCTCTGAGGGGACAGTTTTAGCCAGGCAAGGGAGCAGTAGTCAGAGCAGGGTTCCTACCGTAGCTGACACGCAGACCATTCTGGAGGATTGAAGAGTTACACAGAAAAGATCGGAACAGGCAGGGAAAGTTAAAATCAAGGCGAGGAAGAGGTGACTCACAGAGGAAAAGCTATGCCATCAGAATTCAGAGGCAGCCTACATCCCATAGCAGTGTGGCCAAGGGAAAGGAAAAGGCCACACTAGTCACAGACTGGGGCTTTCTAGCTGTAGGCAGCCAGGACCCATTCAGATGGGAGCTCTGCTGGGGAGAATGTGTTCACCACATGAGGACAGCAGGAAGTGTGACCTTACTAGTGGAGTTAGAAGAAGCCACTCTTACAGACGCAGCAGAGGCAAGAACAGGCATGCTCACATCCTGGGCCACTATTTAGGAGATATGTCTTTGAATTGGTATACTGGAGATGTTACCAAGAAATGTCACTGATGAAGGTTACAAATAAAAACATTCTGTTTTTTTCAGTAAAGTTAAATTGGAGTTAAAAGGCTTGATTTGGTGAAATACACAAAGAATAAATTAAAAAGTTTTTTTTTAAAAAAAAAAAAGCAAAAAAAGACTTGATTTGTGTTGGACCTGGTTCTGTAATTAAGTTTTCTCACAATATTTTGTTCAAGGAACGGCATGTTAGGTACATGAGAAGTCCACATATTAACTCAAGTCCATATAGATTGAACTGAAGCGAATATAAGCCCAAACAAAGGCAGGCTATATATATATTGACTTAAATTTTTCACCATCTTAAAAATAATGAAGAGGTCCCTGAGATGAATAAGTGAATAAGTGGTTATAATTTTGTATTATGAGGCCAACTTCTTTACAGGATACTTGAGAACTTATATTTTCTAGGGGAAAAAAAAACTGAATGAAAGTGCTGTTTTGTAGTAAAACAGTCTGGGTTACCTTGAGATGCCTTGAGGCAGTTTCAGGTGGTAGAGAGAACTGGAGAGCTGAACTCCCAAAGTTCTGAACTCCAGGCTGCCTGACTTAACAGAGCATCACTGTCTGCTGCGTCCCCTAAATCCATTGCAACCACATGCTTACAAGCTTGCCCTGTGCGCTGGGAGAAGGCCAGAGTGTACTGTCACAGAATGCTGTTTTCCCGTAGGGTCTCCAGGTCTCTACGAAGCAGAAGGTGTCCCCATGGGACCTGTTTGAGGGTCAGAAGAACCCGGCTCCTCTGTCCTGGGCCTGGTTCGGCACTGTCCGTGTGGACCGGAAGGTGGTAAAATATGAGGAACAGCACCACTTCCTTCTGTACCACACACACACCATGCCTAAGCCCCGAAGCTACTACCTGGAACCACTGCCCCTCCCTCCTGAGGAAGAAGAGGAAGAGCCCACGTCCCCAGTGTCTCAGGAACCAGAAAGGAAATCCGCTGAACTGTCAGATCAAGGAAAAAGCGCTGCTGAGGAGGAGAAGAAGACAAAGGGAAGGAAGCGTAAGACAAAATCAAGCTCACGCATTGATGTGAGTGGGGGATGGAGGAGGAGTTTGGCTCCTTGGCGTCTAGGATGGGGTTTACCCATGGCCAAACTGTACTAGAAACCTTACTAAGAGTGGCATCGGCCTTCTCATGCAGAGTTCCCTAACACGTGTCTGTGCTAATGAAATGATGCACTGTCATTTCTCGTGGATGGCAGATTTAAAACTTTTGATTTTTCTATTCTCAACTAACCTTAGACTTCAGTAGTGGATAATATTGAGGAACTAAGCCTCATAATTTCCTAGGTTTAAAACTTTAATTTTTCAGGGGTATGTGACTCTACCCACTTAAACACTTTTGTTAATATGATGCATATATTTAAGTATCTTATTTAGGATGATTGATATCTGTAGTGAAGTAACATTAAAAAGTTCCTTTCATTTTTCTCTGAATGAATTTGTATTTGATCTACCCAATAGAGTGGTACTGAGATTTCTTTCTTTGTCCTTGTATCTTCTATCCAGAGTGGGCTTTAACATATTTTCAGTTCTTATAAAAGGTAGTTTAAAATTTAAATTTAAATTAATTTAAAATCGTCTCTCATCCTTTCCGGTACCAGAGGCTTCTTAGATGATAATTTAGAAATTTTTTTTTTGATTTTTCGAGACAGGGTTTCTCTGTGGCTTTGGAGCCTGTCCTGGAACTAGCTCTTGTAGACCAGGCTGGTCTCGAACTCACAGAGATCCGCCTGCCTCTGCCTCCTGAGTGCTGGGATTAAAGGCGTGCGCCACCACCGCCCGGCTAGAAATTATTTTATAGAATATGCAATACAATATTTAAAATAGCTTTCTCTCTGAAATTACTTGGCTTTACTTGAGAGAGAATTTTTATATCATTTTCTATAAAGTAGAAGGATGCTCTTATTTGGTGGGAGGAAGTGCTTACTGTGGGCACTCAGCTGCTTGTGAGCAGTTAATTACATTCACCTGTGCCCCCACTGACTCATTCTAGCTGGTAGCTTGGTAATGACAATGCTTTTAGAGAAGGCTGCTTTTGCTTTCTGATGCCACTTGACCACCGGTGCCCACTCTCAAGCCTGGGCCACTGTGGCCTGCCACACCACATGGATGAGGACTTCTGTTCTCTTCCCATACAAAAGCCTTATCTAAGTCCACTCAGAACCGTCCTCCTGCAGCTGCCTCTTCCCAGAGGGATTGCATCCTTTTGTCCAATTGAAGGGGTCTGAGGTTGTCATTATCCTTCATCCTCAAGGGCCATGCTAGAAAAATAAGAAGGATGGTGAAGGAGTCGAAACATCCTCGTGTGACGCTTAGAGTCTGTGCCTGCTTTCAGGAGGAGAAGGCATGGGGACTTGGGGACTGGCTGCCCTGAAAGCTGTGGGCACGCTGCTGTCTAGGCCTGGGGTAATTCTGAAGCACTATGGTCCTTTCTGACACAGTTCTTATCCAGATACGTGCTTTTAGCTTTTTAAATGTCTCCCGTGAGGAGCTTCTTGTTTTTGGTGGTGATGGTGGGGAGATGGTACTGGAGACTGAACATCGGGCCTTATATGTGCTAGGTACATAGTATTACTTTCTAAATCAAAGAAAAATTTTAATTGACATGAGTACTTTTTAGGAAATGGGTTACCATTTACCATTTATGTTCTGTCCCTTCCCTTTCTCAAACTATAGCCTTGGATTTTGGGATGCAACAATCTCACAGAACTGAATGGGACGAACTTATATTGATTAACTGTGCGTGGTATATTAAGTTACATTTTTTAAAGATAATATTTCTGTTGAAGGAGTATCAGCAGAGCAACATGTACCGAGTGCCTCCTAACTACTCGCCCATGTCCTCCCAAATGATGCATCACCCGCAGCCTGCGCTGTGGGGATACAACCTGGTGAGCCAGCCCCAGCAGCCCAGTTTTTTCCTTCAGAATCAGTCACTGAATCCAGGTAGGTGTGAGACACGCATCACTGGCAGACCACTCTGGTCAGCAATCTGGAGACAAAAACTCCTCGCTCCTAACTTTTATCCACCTCAGAGTGAGAATTCGGGTAATCCAGTCCTCAGTCGCAATTTGTTTTTCTGTTTTCTGAAGTAAGATAAAGGTTTGGCTCAGTAACTTTAAACTTAGTAGCTTATGACTGTTGTCCCGGCTATTAATGGAGAGGCTAAGACAGGAAAATCACGGAGCATTGCCAACATAGTAAGAGCCCATCTCCTAAATTAACATGCAGGGAAATTATATGCACAGACTGCAGAAAGTTCCTGTTTTGTAAAAGAGAATGAAAACACTTTAAGAACTTACAATGCTTGAAGACTTCAAATTCTACAAACATCTCTCCGATCACTGTTGCTCAAAATCGTGCTAAACACGATTTGTCAATGTCCTTATGTATCAGAAAAACTTGCTTCTCCAATTGGTGGCTTTATAGGAAATGCCACTCCTTCCCTCCAAAGATTCTATGTTCCTTGATACATGCAAACGAACAGAGCTCTAACACATCTCACAAAAGAGGTTGCTTTCTTCCCCAGTTAGAGTCCCCTGCCCGTGTTCCCCATATCTAAAATAGACCTTTTAATTTTGCCAAGGTAAAGGTTAAATAATACAGCCTTCAGATCTGTTAGGCTCCAGAGAGCTTCTACGCCTGGCTTATGAAACTTTGCAGAATACTGCACAAGGCACACTTTTATTCAAGTCATAGACACATCCTGAGGGCTGTACAGCCTACGTGACCTACGTCTATGCTTCAGGCACTGCATTTTATCCCCTGAAGTGCAGCCTTCACGTAGCAATTTTAAACTATGGTTCTTCATGCACACCACTGTGCTTCCTCTTTTGGAAATACGGCGGCTCTTGACAGAATGTTAATACTTGGAGCTGGTGGGGCTGTCTGTAATTCTCTGCCGCGCTCTTAAAGTAAGAAAGGTGAGGCTTCTTGTTGTGATCAAAGAACACCTGCAGCCCTTGAAAACCCTTCCTTTCCGTGACTTTTCCAGGTGGCTCCAGATTGGACCCTGCAGGCTCCTATGTCCCAACCAACACGAAGCAAGCCTTGTCCAACATGCTGCAGAGGCGCTCGGGTGCCATGCTGCAGCCGCCTTCCCTTCATTCGATCACGTCTCAGCAGCAGTTGCTACAGATGAAGCTTCTGCAGCAGCAACAGCAGCAACAGCAACAGCAGCAGCAGCAGCAGCAGCAGCAGCGGCTCCTCCGGCAGGCCCAGACTCGGCCTTTCCAGCAGGTTTGTCCAGAGCTAGCCTTGGAGTCCTCCTCCTGTGGTCCCCTCCTCTAGCTAGGAATGAGTTTGGGGTGTGGTGCAGAATCTTGCTGCATGCCCATCTCTGTACGTGTCTGGTTAGAGGGGTCTTTCCTGTATACAAGTTCAGGAATATTTTCCGCTTCTGTATTTCCTCATTGACTTTGTGAGGGAACCGGAAGTGCTAAGGACGTTGTACCTTTTACCTCTGAGGTCAACTTCCCAGCTCTGTTCTATATTATAATTGCTACAAGGGTTTGTATTCATCTTAGCATTACTTTTATGCATTATCCTCGGATCCGTTACTTAATTCTGTGCCTCTAAATCCCTGGTGTTTTTATCCTTCATTGTTTTAAGTGTGAATTCAATAAGATCTGTATCAAACAATAAGTAAATTATAAACAGTGGTCTGAATGTGGAGTTTGTGTTTGTGTGGGAAGTGCTTTAGATTATACCCAGAGCCTGACACGTGCTGGGTAACACTTTACCCCTGCAGTTTGTGCCCAGTGCAGAAGAAATATTAAGTTTATTTTTTGTTTGTTTGTTTGTTTGATTTTCATTGTTTTGTTCTGCTGTGTTTTCTTTTTCCTCCTCCTCCTATTCTTCTGGTGTTTTGTGACAGGGTCTCACTATGTTAAGACCTTGTCTCACCGAGTAGCACTGGCTGACCTAGTACTCTCTGTATAGATGAGGCTGGCCTCAGATTCCGAGACGCACCTGCCTCTGCCTCCGGAGTGCTGGGGTTAAAGAGAACCTCACTATGCTAAGCCTTTGAGTGTAATTTCTGGTTGATGTTTCTTATTTTATGCCCTGTAAGTCGCTGTTCCTTCTAGATGGTGATTTTATTGAATGAACAGTGATGAAAATGGCATGCACCTACCTCGATAGAGACACGTGAAACCTGCAGATCTATGCAAATAAAATTTGTGAGCGAAAAGAGTGACGTAGGATTGCTTCTGCTTTTTCTGGTTTTTGTATTTGTGTGTGTGTGTTTGTGTTTTCCAGTTGCACTGTTCTGATGATAATAACTAACAGAATGCTTACTATGCCCAAATAGTCACGAGCATTTTCAATGTGGTCGTTCTTTAGATCCCACCGCAACCCTGTGATGAGTGAGCATCTTTGTGTTACCCAGTCTACATGTGTATCCTGCTCTAGAGAAAAAGGAAAACTTGACAGTAGCCAGGACTCTGGTACTTTTGAGTTGCCCTGGTCTTGGCTTTGCACACCTGGCTGCTGTGTACCAAAGCACACCCGCATTCCACCTAGTGATAGGAAGAAGAGGGGACCAGATTCTTTATGCAGTCTTTACGTTGCCTTTTTAAACTGAGCTGTGAACTGGCCTACATAAGGATGTTAAGCAGAAGTTCTGGACTGGGTTTTTCCTGACTTCACCTACTGCTTAAACTACTTAGCTATCAGGCAAGATGGGCGAGAGTTGCTTAGTACACACAGACAATGAGAGCTCGAGTAAAATGCTTTAAAAACATTACTGATTTTGTTCAAATAGGCAACGCATTTGGTGCCATTTCAAACCTCAGTTTTAGCTGTGGTTGGAGGATGAGAGGAACGTAAGACATTACTACTAGGAATTGACACACCATCCCACCAGAACGAACCCGTCTTCTTTTAAAGACAGTAGAGCCTACATAAGTTTGCCTCTTTGTTTCTGCATCTGCTTGCTCTTTTATCACAATGCTGAACTTCTCTTAATTGTACCCCACTTCCACTCTGAGTTCAGCTTTGTGTTACGGAAAGTAGTTCTGAGCACTGGGGCAAAGGTCACTGGCATACAGGTAAACATAGGTAAACACGTCTTTCTCTGAGGTTCACTTCCTAATATCCATGACAACTAAGGAACTGAGTGAGATAGTGTAGTCAACAGTATCCCTGCAGGCCTGTGACCTAAAAGGCTCCTCTGGTGGCTGCCTCCAAACACTGAAACATACCTCAGTGTCTTTTTTTTTTCCCCCTGCAGAACTGTGCTAATTGAAAGCATAGGAACTGGTAGGCGTCTGTTTTTGCACTAATTTTGTGCCAGCATTTTGATTTTGTTGTGTTTTGTTCTTCATCCCAGTTGTTTTAACTTTCAAAGTCCTAAACACTGTCTTCAGATAGAAAATCACCTTCACAAGATCAGCCAGCTCAACATTCTTCAACAATTAAACGTCCCCAGCGATTTCCTAACCAATAACCAATTTGTTTTTTATTTTATGTATCTATTTATTTTTTGAAATAGTTTCTCTATGTAACCATGCTGGGTGTCCTGGAACTCACTCTGTAGACCAGGCTGACCTAGAACTTAGAGATCTGCCTGTCTCTGCCTCCCGAGTGTTGGGATTAAAGGTGTAAACCACCCACTGACCGGCCAGATAAGCCCCTTTATTCTTCTTCACTTGTTGGCTAATGGAGGAGGACTATGAACTTTTCTCGACATCGAGACAGGGTCTTTGTGTAACTGCCTAGGCTATTGTTCTACCCTTGAGCTAAATCTCCAGCCCCTCTCAGAAGAAAGAGAACTGCATAGCTATGCAGCCATATGGGCAGGAACCCAGCAGAACAAACAAGATACACAAAGAGTACCTGCGTGGTGCTTGGGTGCTATTATGGGATAGTGAGCTCTTACCCCTTCTTCTAATAGGTAGTTCGCTTCACTATTGCTGTGAAGAGACACCATGACCACGGCGACTCTTATAAAGAAAAGCATTTAATTGGGACTTGCTTACAGTTTCAGAGATTTAGTTTATTTTCAGCATTGCTGAGAGTATAGCGGCGTGCAGGTAAACATGGTGCTGGAGGAGCCAAGAGTCCAACATCTGGATCCACAGGAAGCAGGAAAAGAGAGATCCATTGTGTCTGGATTGGGCTTCTGAAACCCCAAAGCCTACCTCTCCTGGTGAGATACGTCCTCTAACAAGGTCACACCTACGCTAACAAGACTGTATCTCCTGTTCTCTGTCAAGTAGCACCACTCCCTAATGACCAAGCATTCAAATATATGACCCCGTGGGGACCGTTCCTTTTCAAACCACCTCAGTAATATTTGTGATTAATATATCTGTAATGTAGCAAAATATGTTGTAGAGGGAAAGGAATCCCCTTTGAATAATCATTTGAAATCTAGAGTAAAGGTAGAATTGTATGAAATATAAATCATATTGATAACTTGTTACGGTGATGCTGGGCACAATTGGCTTTTTCTAGTCACTAGTCCTTTCATGACAAACACACCCAGAGAGATGTTTTTAGCTGGTCCTGGAATTTTACCAGACACTTCCCAAGTTTAGCTGTGGCTGTTTCTGTAGCGATGCTTGATGGCTTCTCATACAGGGTCAGGCATTGGGCTTTAGAGTCTTTTTAAATTTTTTTTTAAATCATCCTTTTGCCTACTGGGCACACGTTAGAAATCTAGGTGTGTTTAATAGATGAACGCATGCATGATTTGTGGAGCCAGACTCAGGTGTCAGGAGGTTCCCAGGAACTCTATCCTCAGCAGTGTGATTCTCTTTGGCTTTGCTAAGAATGCATGCTCTTCCTTAAATTAATGTTAGGTTTCTGAATCAGCAAACCCACAATATAAATCAAAGAAACATTAGAATAGAAACCATAGGTGTGGGTGTAAGTCAGCTTGCTTATGGCATTTGGATGGGTAATATTCTATAGTGGTACAATATTCCAGCTTTGAAAATATTTGGGTTATTACATGCTCACTGCATAGGAAGTTTCTCTAACAGTTGTCTTAGTAAAGCAAGGTTCAAAAATGCCTTTGAATCCTTAATCTTTCTTAAGGCTTTATGCTTCTGAAGAAGCAAGCATGTAAGGATTTTATTCATTAAAAGCTCGAATTAAACATTATTATTGCCAGGTCGATACTATTGTTCAAAAGAAAAAAAATTGTATGAATCATTCACCAATCAATCAATTCTGTTTTTTTTTTTGGGGGGGGGGAAGCAGATGTTACAGCAGGCAAAACATTTTATTTAAAGTCAAACAAATGTTTTTTTTTTTTTGGTTTTTCGAGACAGGGTTTCTCTGTGGCTTTGGAGCCTGTGCTGGCACTAGCTCTGTAGACCAGGCTGGTCTCTAACTCACAGAGATCCGCCTGCCTCTGCCTCCCGAGTGCTGGGATTAAAGGCGTGCGCCACCATCGCCCGGCTTGTTTTTTGTTTTTATATTCATTCAAATAAATAGAAATTTGTATCATTTCTTTACTTTTAACCTCTTTTTACTACTTTCCTATATTAGGAATTTAATGACTATTTCAGTAGTTATGCCCATCATGTCTAGGCATGTTACTAGGACATACTGTAGAGGAGGCACAATGTTTGCAGTGTGTTTACTCTGAAGTGCATCCGGTGTGTTTAGCAATTAATGCTGGTAACAATGCTGATCTTAGTTGAATTATACTTGAAGTGAAGGCTTCCTAAAAACATCCCATGTGTAGCTTATCACTAGGACCGGATAGCATTTCTCTGTGTCTGTTTTCTGTAGTCAAAACAGACCAGTCTCCTGTGATGACCAAAGCTTTTGATTCATATCATGTGTATCATTTCAGCTGTGAGCACTCAGTTGATTCCAAATGAGGATTTTATAAATAAAGCTGTTTTTGCTAGGAGATTCATTAACAATACTGGCTTGTGTTGTTGCTATCATCATCATCACTACTAATGCTACCACTACCACCAGGGAATATTTTTTGTTATGGCAAAATACATGTAAAATAACATTTTAGCACTTGAATAGTTTCTTTTAAAATTTCCTCTATTTTTATTTCATTGATATAGGGGAATGGAACATAATATATTCACACACGAACACCTCGTCTTTATTTAGTTCTCTTTCATGCTTCTTTTTATGATTTAATTTTATTTTGTGTGCATTAGTGTCTTGCCTATGTGTGTGTCTGTGTAAGGGTGTCAGGTCCCCCAGAAATTGAGTTACACACTGGGAATTGAACCAGGTCATCTGGAAGTGGGGCCAGTGCTCGCAACCACTGAGCCATCTCTTCAGCTCCCTCCATGGTTCATGTAGAGTTTGTAACACCTTTATCTTGGTGACTCTTGTGGATTTTTTTTAATGTGGAAAGTAATTTATAGTTTATGTTTCTTAAATTTCCATCACCTCAGCTATTATTTGCCAGCAAGCATGTCACCTAAGGACTGAGACAGATAGCATTATTAGTCGTAGTGTATTCCATATTGATCTTCAGTAGTTAGAGGAGGGTTAAAGCATTAGATATGCCTTGTGTATGTGTGTATAGCTGTGCATACATCCTGTTTCCCTCTGACTTGAAATGGCTTTGACATGGTCAGCTGTCATTCCCAGGATTCTAACTTCCTTATAATAGTCGAGTATTCTTTCAGTCTGCAGACCTGGCAGTTCACGTGTGTTTTTACCACACAAAAAGCCCAGCACTACTTCAGAGACCTTTTATAATACTAATGTCAAGAATTACAGATTGAAGGAATGATATTAAAGATCTGTCCTTGGTTTAATGGCTCTTTAATGGACTTTTGAGGACTAAGGAACATTTGGAGACTGGGAGATTAGGTGCCCAGTGACCCCAAACTGGGAATCTTGGCAGCTGTTCTTAGTTCCAACCTTACGATGACAGGGCTGCACTTAAGAGAGTAAGGAGAACCGGGCAGTGGTGGCGCACGCCTTTAATCCCAGCGTTCGGAAGGCAGAGACAGGTGGATCTCTGTGAGTTCAAGGCCAGCCTGGTCTGCAAGAGCTAGTTCCAGGACAGCTAGGACTGTAATACAGAGAAGTGGGAGGGGGCAGGGAGGAAGGGGGAGAGGGAGAGAGAGATGCAGAGAGAGAGAGAAATAAAATATCTTCTTGGGACCTTAGTCTAAGAGACAGAGTCTTACTGAAGCTGTCATATCTAGATATCATCACAGATGAACTGTTCTGGATGAACTCAGCTCATAAATGAACCCACACAATTTTCTACTTGTGTGTGTGTGTGGGTGTGTTTCTTTTCTTTGTTCCTTTTATTTAAATAGTGGTTTTCCTACAACATACCCTGATCATGACGGCCCTCTCTACTCGCCCCAGTTCCTCCCCACCTCCTTACCTGTCTAGATACCATCCCATTCTGTCTGTCTTTAGCAAACAAAAAAGGTATCTAAGAGGTAATTAAAAAAATAATATATAAGCAAACAAAAGCAAACATCACAATGTAACAAAACAAGCACACAGTAGAAAGAGAACCCAAGAAAAGGCACAAAAAAAAAACAGATAAAATCAGAGACCCACCCCTTTGCACATTCAGGAATTCTATAAAAACATAAAACCTAAAGCCGTTTTATATATATATGTGTGTATATATATATATATATATAAATGGTCTATAGGGTAAAAATTAATAAATAAAATAAAATGGAAACAAAATAAAAATTTAATTAGCCCTGACTTGACATGAGACCAGAAACCTCCAAAGATGCCATTGAGTTCATTTTTTTTTTTGACCATCTACTGATTTTCATGTGGAGAGCTCAAGACTCAATCAATCTGATGTATAATACATTTGGTTTCAGTGTCTCATTAACAACTACAAAGATACATTTTCTTTCAGATTTGTTATGGGACTATTTTAAGTGACTCGTCTTTAAAGAATAAGCACCCATGGGCGCTTAAGTCCTTTCGCCCTCAGTGTTACACTTGGAAGTATCTACTCCAATGGGGATGCCCTATCTTTGGAGTCAGATCACTGGAGTTTAGGCAAGGTCTTTGTAGCAGCCCAAGCCTGACATATGCTGCATTCTTATTATGGTTACTATTGGCATTCTCCTACCTAAACTACATATTTATCCCTTCTCTTTGTTAGCAATATATTTACTTTTCCCAAAGCATACTAAAGTGGTTTCATGCAACTCTAATTTAGCTCTTTTTATTATGAGACAGCAGTAAAATAATTGCACAGTAAACTTATTTGTCCCTGACAATTAATGTCTTGGGGAAATCCAGGGATGGAGTGAAACCAGGCTTTTTTTTATTTTTTGTAATTATCACTGCAAGCTTTCATAAAATGATCTCTATAACCATAAGATAAAGTTCACGTATAGCTGTCCATATTGATTAATATTATGAAGGCCAAAGTATATTAAATTAAGACTGGTTCACAGATTGTGGCTGGTTTTATTCTACATGTAGTTGGTTGGAATTGTACTTGCTGTTGACTTAGGATATTTTCATTGAGTATCACCTCATCACCAAGTCTTAGCAGATATTAACATTTCCTCAGATGTCACAACTGAAGAGAGTCTTTAGATCATGGTGCATTCAGAAGCCCTGGGGATTTTATATGTGATGAGGAGATGCCATGCTTTTTCCCTCTCTTCAGAGGACGTGGGTAGTGCCTGTGATGGAGAGATATACTTTAAAGACTCTTTCAGGCCCAGAGAAGCATCTGTGCCCTTCCTTTACTCAGAGAGTCATTTGAGAAAGTCTTGGTTGAGAAACTTGCTGATTGTAACCTTTATAGACTGGAGAAGTCAGTAGTTTGCCCACGTAGGGAATGGCTGCCCTGAACCTGGTCCGAAATCTGTAAGTTCTGTGTTAGAAGCTGAAATGAAGTTCTTGCAGTTACAGACTTTGTCCTGATTTTGTTTTCCAGGGCCAGCCAGGGGACCAGGCTGCTCTCTTTACTGCACAATCACGGCCCTCCCCTCAGCTCCCTCAGTATCCAGGGCTGCAACAAGCACAGGTACCCATTGGCTTTGAAGCAAAGCTCCTTTCTTCGTGTTTTAATGCCGGTTGTTGGGAGTAGGAGATCAAGGAAACTGGTTATCAACTAGATCAAGAAAGTGCTTCTGCTTCACAGTCTCAGAACAGTAACTGTTGAATAAGTCTCAGGAGTGCCCAGGAAATTCCTCAATTAGAAATGTAAATAAGTTCAGACTTTTAGTCTGCTGATGCAAGATATTGGAGCACTTGAGCCAAGGCGGTGGGACACACCTTTAACGTGCACCCAGAAGCAGAGGCAGGAGGATCGAGGCGAGCCATGCTTATATAGCTCAAAGTTAATTAATTAATTGTTTAAGAATCTCAGAGTTGTTGATGATGTAATGAATAATGGCATGATTTGCTATAGAAGCTTACATATTCAAAAGTATCTTCCGTGAGGAATCACAGTAGAACAAGGTAGTGGGCCCATGAGTCGGGTCACAGTACAGGTGCTGTTGGCTCAGTAGCTGTATGGCCTGTGTGCTAGCTACGCTGAGGTATAGCTTCCTCTTTGTAAGATCAAGAGGAAAAGATGTAGGATTCCAGGTGACACATGGAATCAACCTATATATACCCAGAAAATGTTCAGGAAGTGGTGCGCTTCACCTTTAAAACCTGCCGGCCTTTATCCATCCCTCCCCTTGTAGTTTTGTTGTTTCTGCATCGTTACACCCTTATGCCTTTCCTTTTATACAGAAAGGTCTGGTCCGGCTAGGCTTGTCTTGGGGCTGGCAGTTTATCCCGTGTATACAACGGAAAGGAGAGCAGTGTTTGGCTTACAGGGTCCTGAGGCCGGTGCATGTTTATTGTGTATCACGCTTGTCTTCAGAGTCACGGTCCTTAAGCTGCTTTAATATGTGGTGTTCCGAGGACCCAGAGAATAGACTGCCCTCTGTTCAGTGATTTATATCTTGCAATCCAGAAAACTCCATGTGTGTCTTTTATGTGGGTGTCAAGATTTAGAGAAATAGGTACTTGTATCAAAGGGATAGCATGCCCTGTACTTTAGATGACAGTGATACTGCTTGGATTTTGTTGGATGTTGCCGCCATCTGTGCACTGAACATGTAGCTACCTTGCTGGTTATTTCTATATAAAAGGTGCCTTTCCTAGTCCAAAAATAAGCAACTCAAAAGCCAAATGAATATTTAATTATTTTGAGCTAGAGATTTCTATGAAATCACTGCCCTACCAGCCTGTTCTGTGGGTTTCTGACCAGATTTTGTTTGCCTACAGAGTATCCATCCCCATATTTTGAATCATTAGAGCCATTGCTAACCATGAATTTCAGGCTGGGCTTCCTGTTCCCCCGCATTTCTTAGTGGTGGGGATCCAGGTGCTAAACACAGCACTGACTTCTCCCTTTGTGCCTTCCTGCAGACCATGCCCCAGGGCTACACCATGTATGGGACACAGATGCCTTTGCAGCAGGCAGCTCCGCAGCAGTCTGGAGGTGTGGTCCTCTCCCCCAGCTACAACTCCAGAGCCTATCCGGCCGCACATTCCAGCCCAGCGCTGATGGAAAGACTCCGCCAGCTGCAGCAGCAGCCAAGTGGCTATGCGCAGCAGCAGGCCTCGCCGTACCTGCAGCCCGTAGCTGGCTCTCAGAGGTGATACCTGTTGAAGTAATTGCAATAGTAAACCCTCTCGGCCTTGGGTTTGTTACACTTCTTCCAGGCATTTGATACTGTGACGGTTTTTGAGCTCCTATATTTGCGTCCTGACATCTCATTTTTATCAACATGCAATAGAGGTTCCAAATTCTTCCATTCGAGAACACCGTAGTTTTGACTCGCTTCTTCCAATGTGTACTGTTTTAAGATTTTCAGATGACACCAGTGTGTTAGTGCTAGTGTTCTTCCTTTTTTTTTCCTTTTACTCGAGAGATTTTTTTTTTTTTTTTATTAAAAGTGTTCGATAAAACTATCGATCGTTGTTAGCAGTGCTTTTACTAGAATCTGCTGCTCGGAACCGTACAGTTTATGTTGTAGTACTAATCGCAGATGGCGCTTGACAGAGTTTTGCTCCAGCTTTGTTTCTCTCTTTTCCACCTCAGCGATGACTCACGCTAGACTCCCCTGGTTCTTGTTCGAATCGCATCCCCTCCACCTAGAGTGTGTCTGTACTGCTCATCGTTGTAAGCTGCTGTCCATGCATGGCTAAGCTTCAGTTAATTGAAATTGACGTAGCTTTCAGTTCTGCAGGCACGTTGATCATATTTCAAGCGCTCCCTAGCCAGCTGTGGCCGGCATGGCTAGCTTTGAGGTTCGTGGTCTGTGCAGTGACACGGAGACCCGGTGTTTGTAGAAGCTCCATCTTCAACTAAATGTTCTGCCATCTCTCGAAACGCTGTTGTTTTGGCCAAGGAGCCCTGCGGTTTTGTTTAGCTCTAAGATCTGATAGTCGTGTAACTAGTCCTAGTCACTAAAGGCCACTTCACTGGATGGCACAGATAAAAACCATGACCATTAACACATTATCCAATCCCATTGGATAATAAAGTGCAGAAGAGTTAGGTTGGTAAAGTTCTACACTGTAAAGTGGATCGCAGCTTAGCTCCCATGTGTTCTGGTCAGTGACTACCTACACATCTGCTCAAGGTAACTGCTGTCTGAAAAGTAGGGAGGTGGATGGTAGCACATTATGGGAAATAAGCTACTGTGCAAAACGTGCTCTCCCATTTTTATAAGTAAGTCGCAGCATGTCAAAGCTCAGTAACCAGAGCTTCGTTGCTCGAAAATTCCGGGTTCAGATCTTACCTGTGCCGTTTGCCTTTTAGGTGAGCTTAGTGATCTCTTGATCTTCCTTCATTTTTAAAGTTAGATAATAAAGCTACTGGCTCACAGGGATATGTAAGGAGTAATAAAATACTACTGTTCAGCCTTTCCACTCATGGCCTGCTCCAAAGTAAATAGTAACTTATTTTGCTTATTGCTAACAACTGTTTTTTTTTTTTTTTTTAAGAAGTAATTTCTGTATGATTGCTACTTGGTCTGAAGTAGTATGCTTACTATCTTCTTTTTCTTCTTCTTCTTTTTTTTTTCAATGTGGTCAGATGTGTTATCTGATCCTCTGGCCCTTCCCCATTTTTAACTGTACACATGATTACTGAACACGAATTGTTTCTTGGTGGATGTGTGTAAAATGCTGGAGGCACTGATTGACACTTCAATGGTACGCCTGGTTCCTGAACACAAGTTGCATTATTCTTTGCCAGACTGAACCACCAGGCTCTACAGCAGAGCCCTCTGGTGGGCGGGGGAATTGATGCTGTGCTGACTCCCGCACATCCCACCCTCCCCTCGGTGCCCCTGCCTCAGGACCCATTGAGGCCCAGACAGCCGCAAGTTCGACAGCAGCAGAGACTCCTCCAGGTATGGGGCAGGGAGGTGAGGGCAATGCCATCCCTTCCAGTAGTACAGACACAGACTCTCATAATGAAAGACTCTCTAGACTGAAGTGTTAAGTTCCAAGGAGCCCTGTGTATTTGACACTAGCAACTTAGCTAGTACTAGTACACTGTAGTTCCAAGAAGGTCGAGTTTTCTCTGTACCTGCCAGGCCCTGAGCAGGAGACTCCATTTCACACAACCATTTCCCTTTCCCAAAGCTTCAGGGGGCACGCACATGCTTTAGTTTAAATGTGGACCTCGCCTCACCTCAACACTGATGGACTAAAGACCTACACTTTGAATGCAAAATTTTATACACACGAGGGAGAAATAGATAGGAACAAACAAACCTTTCCACCATTTGATGTCCGTAACATTGTGTTTCTATCACACTTCTGCTCTATTTAAGCCACGGGGTTAGAGTAGCAGAGATCACATCCTTGGAGGGTTCTGTCTTCGAGTCCAGAGGGTATAAAGACTTGACACTCCCTGGTAAACAGCCCCTCCCTCAGCACATTCTTGTTTCTGATTTCCTTGTTCCAGTATACGGATGAGGATGTGGCTCATTGGCAAAGCTCCTGCCCGGCATACACAGGGCCCTGGGTTTAATACCCAGCACTGGAATGAAGGAGGAAGAGAAAGCTGGCAGTCTGGCTGTTATATTAAATCTGTGCCAGAATTTTCTTTTTTTCATTATTAACAAGTGATGTTTTTGTGTCGGAGATTTCTTGAAAAGACTGTTAAGTGGACTCTCTTTTTGGTCCAAAATGAGATGCAGCTTTATTTTTATGGACCTACATAGAAATACTGGGAGATTTGGAATCTCATGGAACAGGGTATATATGTGGGGAGAGCTATCTATGCTCTGTGAGGGAAACAGGCAAGAAAGCAGTCATGCAGAAAGGAACACAAAGGAAATTGTGTGTCTCAATTCTCCATTGGAAAGAGAGAAAGAAAAAAGTAGTTCCCTAAGAATTTAAACCATGAGCCCAACTGCAGTTGAAGTCTGAATGTAGTATGATCTACAAAATTGTAGTTGATTGTATCTAAACGTAAACAAGGAGAAGTCAAAACAAACCCTCTAGAACTGAGCTCCAATTTATAAGGTGGTTATTATCACATCCTTATTTTGGATATACTATTTTGAAAGTTGTGATACATTTTAACAATATATGATAACTGGTTTGGGTTAGTATAGACTACCAATGTATAGTCCTGTTCATTGTATAGATGCTATTGCCAAGGTGGAAAAAACAAAAACAAAAAAACCTACTCTTGAGTTTTGTCATTAATAAAATGGAAAGATTATTTACCCGTGTATCAAGGATTAAATAAGAAAATTCAAGTAAAACACTGGTTTGATGTTATTTCCAATATTTTTACTAAGATAGCTATTCAACAGAGAATGATATGTTCTTAATCCACCTTTCTACAAGTTTGGAAATTTTTTTCATGACAGCTCCTTGAATATCTCTGTTTTAAGATTTGTTACGTCCAACTCACCAAGGAACCTTGTTGTGCTGCTTACTTATCTCTCTCTGCCTTCCAAGGGCGTTTTCAAGGTTGCAAATAAGTCATTTCCTGACTAGGTGACATGTTCCTTTTCCCCCTGTTAGTGCATGCCCCAGTAATATTTCTTATCAACAACATCCATCCCCCTGGAGATAAAGAAAGACAGGGAACTTGTTCCTGTGTCTCAACTACATTTATTCCTCTTTTTATGATTGACTGCTGGCATAAAGAACAAAAGTCATCAATCGAGAAGTTCCTCTTTCTTGAAAGAGAACCAAGTGGACGGTGGCTTTTTATTGTAATGTTTCTGGTTCAACCTCCATTGTTTATGTTGAGACTCACCCTATGTGGACCTTTGCTAGGATGGCAAATCTACAAACACTGCACATCTGACAGTACCTAGTTGGTGTTCTCACTCTTTAAAAAAAAGTCAAGTAATTGGGGGAATAATATGTAGACAGGTTTGAAAAAATACATATAAAGAAAATCTAGTCGGGTCATCAAAACGAAGTATTTGGATGGAGTAATTAAAGGCCACTAAGCGAAGATTTTTTTTATTGTTGCCTTTTCACGTGATGCATACTGGGTTTCTTCTGTGACTTAGAAGTGTTTTCCAAGAGCTGTGTGTTTGAGCCAACTTAATCTGGACATACTGTCTAGTTTCAAGCTGCTAAGTCATTTCAGAATTTCTATGGGCTAGTTCATAGTCTATAAAAAATAAAAATGGACTCCAAAGCTATCCCCCTAACTATCAGAGAAGATAATCCTTGATGGGTGTCACCTGGCAGTGTGAGAAGGTAGCTTGTGGGTCGCCAGGCAGAGGATGTGAAAGAAGTAGAAACAGTAAGTGCACAGGATGTCCCTGGACAGTGAGCACTGGCTGCCAAAGGAAGCCAGCTTGAACTCGGGGTGGTCTGAGGAGGTTTCTTGGAAGAGTAGATTCGTATCTTACACTTGAAGGAAGAGCGACATTTGACAAAGTAAAGATGGAAGACGAAAGGGTACAGTCTTGCTTCATATAATGCCATTTCTGTCAGTGACTGACTGGTATGACAGTGATCCCTGCAGATTTTAGTGTAGCTAAAGCACTCCTTTACCTCATGACGTCATAGCCTTCATTAACATCATAGCATCATCACAGCACACTGCCAATGTGTTTGGAGATTTCTGGCGAAAAGAAACCTTATCCCATTGCCAATTATTTAAAAGCATCACAATAGTTAACGCGAAGTGCTTAACACTAGAGAAGAATCATCGCCACCGCCCCATGTGTCTGCATATTTCCTATACTCTATATGGTTATTTTTGGAGGATAATCCTATTTACCGAAATACCTTTCATTATTGGAGATGTGCCTCGGTAGTAGAGCGCTTGTCTAGGATGCAGGAGACCCTGGGTTGGGTGTTGAACACCAGAGGTTCAGTCTGTGGTAAACAGCATGTTGTGTTTTAGGGTTTTAGCAGCAGCAGCCTCTGCATCCTGTTTTCCATGTCTCTAAGTTGCATCCTTTATCTTGTGCCTCATTCAGTCTTATATCATTTTGTTCATTGTGGCCCTAGTAATAAGCTGTTCGGTGTATCCCACAGCCCGGGTGTGTGGTTGGCCCCGCCACCTGTGTTTTTCATAGTACATGATACACTGTCCAGGCAATGCAAGAATCACCTGTGCCACATTTTTGAGACTATATCCCACCATCATTTCGCTGCAATGGAACAGATAAAAATGTGTATTAGTAAAAGCTATTCAGGCATGTCTTAGCCCCACAATTTCAAGGGTCTACCCTAATCTTTTTCTTTCTTTCTAGATGCAGCAGCCCCAGCAGGCCCCCCAGCCCCAGCAGCCCTCACAGCCCCAGAGTCAGGCCCTTGGTCTCCAAGCAATGCAGCCCCAACAGCCTTTGGTAAGGACCTGATGTTTCAGAACCAGGATGTGGGTTTCTACTTTAGAGTAGGTTCATTGTCCAATGCCATGAAATTTTAAGAGTGAAATAATCTTGATATACCCGGCCAGTTTTCCTATAAGTCTATCAGGGTTTGGTTGATAGAGTAGTTGACATATTTGATTTTTTTAATAACTAATTAATATACACTAATAAAATTCCAATATTCAAATAAAAGTTATGCTTTAATAAACATTAATTAATAACACCATTCTTCTTTTTGAAAAAAGAAACGTAGAGCATTCAATGGATGAAAACCTTACCAGTGAGTTATGAAGCGTTTTTTATAAATAGTAAATAATGATTTCATATGCTTGTTAAGATTATCTTCCTTAGATTTTTTATAACATTCTTAGAGTTCATGGAAGTACTCTGTAAAATAATGGCCTGAAGAATGAAATGAAATCTGTTTTTATCCAGTTAGTATTTTCTGCAAGAATTTTCATGTTGTTCATAATCTACATTCCACTTGTCTAACTTCTCAAGTTGAATTTGGGGACATGGACACACTATGGATGTTTTGAAAGCTTCGGTGATTTCCAAGGGCTTGTTACCTGTGAGTTCTCCCTGGGGCCTGTAGGCTGCTATACTCATTGCCATGGGGAAGCAGCAGTACAGGTGGTTATCACCGCAGGATTCGGAGAACAGCTTCATGGATCTGTAGCGAAGAGAAGTAGCATGGAGCCACGGCAGCACATTAGAGAGGGTCGGTAGAATCACTCGGTTTAGCCTTGACCCAAACAGGATTCTCCTAAGAGGGAGTTCCCTAATATATAACACTTGCTGCTCTGGCCAGCTGAGTCCTATTTTTTAGTTCCCTTATACCAAAGTTCTAGCTTTTCCAGCTTTGATTGTTTTTGTTTCAAAAATATTTATGACATTTATTGCAATCTACTTCAACCATTTTTGCTTTGGTTTAAGTAGAGGCAATAAGGAACTTGGCTCTTGGTCACCAGGAGCATAGAGCGGGCTAGGATGACTTTTTGAAATACTCTAAGGAAAAGAAAAAGACTTTCAGATAGAACGCTGCCTGTAGACCCAGTGTTCCCCCCGGAAGTAAGTTCTAACGTGTTTTCACATAATTCCAAACCCACAGAAAAGTTTTAAGAACAGTACAAAGACTCACCAAACTGAGAGCCTGGTTGCCAGGTTCCTTTCTGATTCACTCTCTTCCTTTAGTTCCCGCTCATATCCTCCTGATCTCCACATATCAGTAAGCTATAGCCACGTGCCTCTTTAATGCTAAATATTGCATTTCGGTTCTTTTCCCCCCTAAAGCAAGATGGTTGGAGATGTAGTTCAGTTAGCAGAGCGCTTGCCTTGGCCTAATGAGGTCCTGGGTTGGATCCTTAGCACTGCAAAACAAACAACCCCCACAAATGTAAAAATACCTGACTATGATTTCTGAAGTCAGGAGACTGAACACTGATGCAGCTGGAGAGGTGGCTGCCTAAGAGATGTGGGTGCTAAGAGCTGAACTTAGGTCATGTGGAAAAGGAGTGTTGGCTCTTAAAGCCAAGCCACCTCTCCAGCTCCAGAAAGTATATATTAAAAGTGAAATCTAGCATTTGACCCCTTTCTTTTAAACCTTTGCCACTACTAGGAGCACTTAAAATTCTTATTCCAACTTTACTATTTGTTGCTGTATAGCATCAGTTAGTGAAATTTGCCGATTTTAAAAAAATCACCAAAAATCATGCCTAAGGCTGAAGTAGTAACTCAGTGGGAGGGGGCCCTTGCCCAGCATATACAAGACCCTGGGTTTGATCCCCAAGGCTGTAAAACGCTGAAAACTTTTCTTTCTGTTGAGTAGGTTATTATGCCAGACAAAGAAAACTTAAGAATAGTCTCCGTTTTCTTTCTATACACAAGACATTCTAAAGGTGTTTTGACAGAAAACCAAAGTTTCTGCAGGTAGGTCATGTTGAGTATTTGATGCTGACTGGGAAGATTCTAACTCTTTTCATCCCGATGGAAAACAAGGACTGCCACGCTGCGGTGCTCTTGTTACAAGCAGTACTGCGTGTGATCCTGATGGAAGTGACTGTCACAGAATTATGCCTTCCTAGTGATTTATGATGCAGATGAGTCCTTTCCTATTAAATGTAAGGAACCCAATAATTTGGGAATGGTAGCTTGTATAGCTAGTAATTTCTAACAAGTAAATGATTGTACAGTACCATTTTAACAAAAACATAAACTTTAAATTTAGAACTACAATTATTGCTGAATATATGATAATTATTGCATATTTTAAACTTGACTCAGGTATGTAATAAAAATATACATCTTATGTTCTTCACAAACAATAAAATTTCTATGCTTAAATTACCTATAGTTATTTATATTTAATCTATATTTTTTCTTACAATGAGAGTTTAAACATTCAGTCCCCACGAATATATAGCTGCCATCCGAAGATAAGTTATTGCTACTTTAAAAAGAAATGGCTTTAGGAGCTGAGGAGATGACTCATTTGGAAAAGCCCTTGGCACAAAAGCTCAAGAACCTGATTCCAGATCCCAACACCTAAAATGCAACAAGGCAGGCTTGGCAGTGTGCCTGTAAGTCCAGCAGAGGGCAGGATTGCCAGAGCTTACTGGCCCATCCGCCCAGCCATTGGCAAGCTCTAGATTCACTGAGAGCAGCCCTGCAAAAAATCACAGGGGTGGGGGGAGCAACAGAAGATAACTAGCCTCTACACCTCTACATTAGACTTATTTGGGGTAGGCTGAGGGCTGAGTGAGGGATGTTCTTTCACCTGTTACTAAATCTTACCTCAGTCCATACGTAGTAAGATATCTTAGTTATTTTTCTATTGCTGTGAAGAGACACCATGATGAAGGCCAACATAAAACAAAGCATTTTATTTTATTGGGGACTTGCACATAGTTTTAGAGGCAGAGTCCATGGCCATCGTGGTGAGACGGCATGCAGGCAGCAAGCAGGCAGGGGGCTAGAACGGTAGCTCAGTGCTGACGTCCAATCTGTAGGCCAGAGACAGAGCATAAGACTGGGCCTGGCATGGGCTTTTGAAATCTCCAAACTCAACCCCAGTGACTTACCTCCTCCGAAAAGGCCACCCCTCCTAATTCTTCATAAACAGCCTGCCAACTGGGAATCAGTTATTCAAACATATGGAGACCATTCTCACTCAAACCAGCACGTTTGAAAAACACAGAACAACGTGTTGGAGGTATAACATGTGCTCTGTTCATAGCATGTGCTCCATGATTCCTGATGGATGGCAGCCCCAAATGCCTTACCTCTAGTGGTTATTTTGGATAGGGTAAACAAACTTAATTCTGTTACTAAACTGTACTGATAGGTCTGGAAGGAAAGTTTCTTTAAACCTCCCAGTCACAGTTGAAAGCAGCAGCAGAGGTATGTGACGTCACCTAAGATACCCCCAGTAAGTCACTACCTCTGAGTCAGAGCTCGTTAAAGGGAACTTGGCATTTTATTCTTAGATCATAGTTGTGTAAATACTTAACTGAGTTATGGTATGTAAAGAACATGCAAACCTAATAAGGATTTCTAAGGCAGTTTTGGTGATTTTTATTTTTTTATTTTTCAGTTTTTTGAAACAGGGTTTCTCTAGGTAGCTTTGGAGCCTGTCCTGGAACTCACTCTGTAGACCAGGCAGGCCTCAAACTCAAGGAGATCTGCCTGCCTCTGCCTCCAGTGCTGGGATTAAAGGCATGTGCCATCACTGTCTGGCAATATTGGTGATTTTTTAATGCTATAGATTGTGTTTCACCCACTGGCTTAACATCCTACCTTCCCAAGGTAATTCAGAACATGGAAGATGACATTTTTCCTCATGATGCTCGTAAGAAAGTAACTTAAAAGAAATAAAAGTCTTTACTAATGGTAAATTTAATGGAGGTGAGTAGTGGTTGTTTAACATTTTTTTGTGCTGTTTGGCAGAGTGCTTTAAATTCCCACCAAGAAACGCAGTATTGTTTCAGTAGAGATCAGTCTCATAAATAATTCAAGCAGGCATTATTATAGCACAGTGACCAAATGGTGTGTGTGTGTGTGTGTGTGTGTGTGTGTGTGTGTGTGAGGATGGGCTAGGAAACTTAAAATGTTCAGACCTAAGTGTTCAATTTCAGCATTAGATACTCTAGGTTTATAGGAGTGGTCGGTACTGAGAGATGTTCACATCATCAGAAGTCTTTCTTGGGTATACTTTATATAGCACACTTGTGTACCTATGCTGTATATTTAGTTGTAAGCCTAGTTTTAACGGAGCCTTCTCTTTCCCACCAACCCCCACCCTTTGAGACAGGGTCCTACTATGCTGTTCTGGCTGCCCTGCATTTCACAGTCTAGCTCAGGGTGGCCTCTAACAGAGATGCCGGCCTCTGCCTCCAGTACTGGGGTTAATGTGTGTGCTACTGCACCTGGGTATACACACACTTTTAAATTATGATGATGATGTCATCATGTTTTTCAGTTGCTGAACCATTCCTCTGCAGTTAAAATTTTGGAATGGTGCCAGTTTAAAAAATAGTACTCTTAAAGGTGTTTTGGTATGTATTCTATACCCCTTTTTGGTTGTCTCATAATAACAAACAGATGTAAAAAATATTTTTAACTACTTGTGTATATCAATAGCAAGGGCACAAGGTCTCAGGAGATTTAAGGAAAAAGTTCACATTTCCTTTTGATTACTTTCACTCTCTGAGATTTACTATTTTGTCAATGCCTTGGATTCTTTATAATAAACATCTCTAGCAGATCCATCTCTAGTTTTGGGCCTGCTCCCCCATTCAGTTCCTGTGTTTGGAGAAGAAAGTGGTGAGCTGGCTGCTGAGGAGGGGTAGGCTTGGACTCTGGGTTCTGATCAGTGCTGCACTAAGGGAGGAGTAAGGAGCAATTACCACCCTCCTGATGACTTGCCCGGCCACTTCCTGTCAGCCAATGGTTACAGTGGAATTCAGCAAGTGTTAATTTGGTTTATTCAGTAGAAGCCAGAACCCCTTCAGGTGTTAGGGAGCTTGTCATGAAAGTGCCAAGTGTGCTTTTTGCCACCAGGGACCAAAGAATCATAAGAAATGGCTGAAGGGCAATGTTGTACATGGCAGGTGGCATGTGATGGCTTTATCTTTTTAGTCTAAAAGCGCCAGAGGTTGAATTTGCTTGCTAGAACTGCTGTACAAAGTGCATGAACTTAGCTTAAAATTGGAATTTTTTTTTCCCTCTTGGTTCTGGGAACTGGAAGTGAAAGATCGGGAGTCAGCAATGTTGGTTCCCTCTGTGTGTTGGTGGGTGAGCCTGTGCCAGTTTGTTCCAGCCTCTCCCATTGCACCAGCTGTCTTTGGTAGCCAGGCTCTGCTTGACCTTCACACAGCATCCTTGCTGTTTGCACCAGTTTGCCCATGTCCCCGTTTTTATGAGAATACCATTCGTATATCAAGTTCCGTTATAATAAAGTTCATTTTGACTTGATTCCCTCTGGAAGGGCTCCCTCTCCAAGTGAGGTTACAATCCGAGGTCCTAGGGTTTAGGACTATAGCTTTTTTTTATTTTGAATGATATAGTTGAAGTCCTAACAGAGATCAAAAGATAGAGAAATCTGGGGAGCCCGTGGTGGAAAGCTTGAATAGAAGTGACCTTGAAAGGCAGGATTTGACCTGTCCACTTTGACTGTTACCTTGGTTGGTTCCCTTTAGTTGATAGCATCAGTTGGGTCATGGTAGACAGTGACTACCAGCACCCGTGGCCAACTTGATTACTGTACTAAAGTGTTTTTAAGGTCAAAACTGCCATAAGAGAGAAACCGTCACCTCTTTGAGATGTCATCAGGAGACTTTTCTGTGAAATGAGCATGGAAGGTTAAGAAAAGCCCATGCCCATCAGTTCACTGTAGGGACAACTTACTGCCCATGCTTGTGCCATTGTCTTCTGTGAAGGAAGGACCGCTGACGGTAGACCCTGCCCTTCCTGGGGGAATACCTGCACTCTCTCAATCTTTGCCATAATTGTAGTTGCTGACTTACGGTCTTTATAAGGCTCCTATGTTATGATTAAAGTATTTTTAGCCAAATTTGACAGATGTAGTTCATATTTTCCTTAAAACTGCTTCCAACATTTAAGAAAATAATATTCACACCATGCTTCTAAGTATTTTCTTTCCATTTTGTGCTGTCCTAATTAGGTGACCTGAAATACATTGGTCTTTAGGCAAGGCTCCCATTGTATTGCATTTTGCCTTTCAAAAAATGTATATGACAACAGCATTAGTTAGTAATACTGTGTCTTTGGCCAGCAGCAACATGTTATACTGGTCTTCCTCAAGGAGTTCATACGTTCTGTTCGGAGAAATCGATGTAGTTTTTAGAGTGCCCTTGGGATTCAGAAGCCAAATGGCACAGATCATCTGGATCTTGAGAATATTAGTAGTGAAGGTTCATAGTCCTTTCTGTTTGATGTCTGACTCCAAACACCTCTGAAAGTGCAAGGGTAAACAGCAAAGGCTGACAAGAACAGACATCCAGCTGTTTCCATGTATCCTAGAGCAACCATGGGGATGCTTGACTGCAGAAGGACAGGGTAAAGGGAGGGTAAGGTCAGCCCAGATCACATGGTGAGAGTTAACCTTTGACACACACTGAACTCCAGAATATCTGTTCCAAACAGTTTGGGTAAATTTAGGATAGTCAGTCCTGCATCAGGATTAAGTGTGGCCCTATGTGTTTATAGTGCCTAGAATAGTGCAGGGCATGTAGGACAAATTGATAAGTAGGATTCTGAATAAGCATTGAAAGAACTGATTTTTTTAAAAGCACTTATCTTAATAACTTTTCCATATAATGGAAATGGTTTTTATTCTCTTTTCCAAGAACTGTATGTGGAGAGGGTGGGAGAACTCTAACACTGGTATTGGAAATGGCTTATCGGCTTTAGATGTCATATAAACTTAAGAGTCAGCTTGGCAATGCCATCTAAATTAGAACTTTGAATTAAATTTGAATTTCAGGCAAGCAGTTAGCAAAAGAGTTTTCTCAAATCTCCTGTTGGGCTACTTGGACTAAATGCAGCTTTTGTCCCATGAAATATTGAATTAGTGAAATGAATATTATCCATTGGCTGAGATTCACATTTAGGCTTCTGTATTTTTATTTCCTACATTGCTGACAATCCTAGGCTACTTTCAGTCATGCTGACGATCTCCAAGGAGGACATAATCATGTTGCATTCACACTGAGAATGGTCTTTTTAAAAACTCCTCAGAGATGTGAGGCAGACTAAGGTAAAGCAACTCAAATGTGTTCCAGGCATATCAGACCTCTAAGCCTGGTGGAGGCAGAAGAGCGGAGATGGAGAGATCCAGGTTACTTGATGGAAGAGCCTGAGCCTTCCTGCCTTGGATGCGCTTAGCCAGCAGAGGGCTACCGCGGGAAAGGCTGGCAAAATAAAGCAAAGCTCCTTCTTAGCCCGCTTCTGCTCCTTCCCTTCCATCTTCTGGGTGCTCTCTGGAGTGCTCTGCCAGTCTCCGCAGGGTATTCTGTACAGGGAGACGGGCAAACACAGCACAGACTGAGGTAAATGGGAAGGGACCGGTGCTGTGTGTATGGCTAAGGGAAGCTTGTTTCAGAGCATCCCGACTGTTTGCAGGCAACCAGAAGGCAGCCAAGGAGGAAAGAAGGGGGAAGAAAAAAAAAAAAAAAACAAGGAAGAGCTACTACTGTCTGACTTCCAGTGTTCAGAAATGACAGAGTACAGCTGGTGATTCTAATAGAAAATAATTTTCCTTCTATCCAATGCTGACCAGTCCCCCTCCCCCCTCGAACATCAGCCACGGCTTCTCGTCTGAGCTTGATGGGAGGAACTGCACATGGGTTCTTCGTCCCCCTTGTTATACTTCTGATCTCCCTCACCAGGCACCACGAGAAAACCCTTCAAGTCTGAGTTCTTGGTGTCGAGCTCTGCTAGCCCTGCCCTGGCTCTCAGCTGGAGGCCATGATCCAAATGAGGTTACGCTAGCACGCGTTACTCCTGGCAGGTTCCTTTCTGTCCACGAGGTCCATGGGCATTGGTCTGATCTCCACACCAGAGAGCTTGCATTTGCCAGCAAGAGGGATTCGGGCTGTCAGCATATGCCTCCGGCTGGTGAAGAGTGAAGTGACAGTGGTCTGTGAATGAGTAGACTACCTCTGCAGTGTGCACTTGAAGACTCCACACATAAAGGCCTCCGTGAACGCACTGTTTGCCGGCTGTATATTGAATGGCATTGTTTACTGGCTATGTATACTGTAGACACAAACAAGGTTATCCTCTCTGGGCATGAGCCTTTTCTCTGTAGGCATGTGACAGTGGATTAGGCAAGCCAAGGTGCAGCCGGTGCCTTGTGTAGCGTGGTAACTGATTCATCCTTCCCCTTGTTGCAATTGCAGTTCCCCAGGCAAGGCTTGCAGCAGACCCAGCAGCAGCAACAGACAGCCGCCCTGGTGCGACAGCTCCAGAAGCAGCTTTCTAGTAAGTACCTGTCTCAAGGGGAGCTGGGGGAGATGTGGCAATCAGCAGCTAGAAGCCTGGAACAGTGGGAACTCCTCAGAAACCGCACCGTGTTCTCTGTGCCACACTGCGATGTTTCGATCCCATTCTGACAGTAACGTTTGCTTTGAGTCAGAGGGCAGAGCTAGCCACAAGCTGAACAAACTTAACTATAGAGGTTTCAGAGGACTGTAGACAGATGGGAGACAGGAAGTTGTAAGGCAGGGTGGAGAGAGCTTACAGCCCTTTTGGATTGAGGAATGGAAGAGAGAGGAGGTCACTGGTGACTTCTGCTTCTCCGATCATCCAAGCTCTTACCTCGATATCTGACTCCTGACTTTTTATTGATAAAGGATAATTAGATAAACACTTTGGTGCCATTTTAAGTATGTTCCTAATTGAAATAGAATTAAATCACCTTCCCCCTCTTTTTCTTTTGTCTAGCATCTCTTGGCTACATTTCGTTAAACCCCTCCCATACCTCTTCTATCAAGTTGATAGTTTCTTTTTATTTGATTGCTTTTGTTACATACGTACGTACATACACTCCTTTGTACATACATTTTTTTTTTGCCCAAGCTGTTACTTAGTCAGTATGGCCTATTAAATAATCTGTGATTAAACAATGAAACAGAATGAGGTGTTAGAACCAATATTCTTTCCAAGAATACAGTCTGAAGGCGGAGGTTAGCGCTACGGTGTTTACAAGTCAGTCCCGAGGAGCCGGGGAGCATGTTGGCCTGCTCTGCTGTGTCCCATAGCACCACCCTTGAGCAAGTTAGATGAGTCAGTTTCTCTAATCCCAAAGCATTGTGTTGGCAAGTGTGAGATTCTCACATGGAGACGTCCCCTCTTCAGAATGCACTTGGTCGCCCAGTGTGATTATTGGCCTAGGGTCTAGCCAGTTGATTTGTTCCCCCTTACTGGAGGCTGTCCCTGACAGGAACACCAGAGCGGAAGCATTATGTGCAGCACAAGTTTGTTCCTGTAACGGTTAACTCTGCTTTTCCACTAGGTAACCAGCCACAGCAAGGAGTGACCCCCTGTGCGCACCCTTCACACTTTTGAATCCGAGAGAGAAGACGCGAAGTTTATGTTTGCACTGAGAAACAGAAAATCACATTTATTAGTCATCATAAGAAGTCTCCTTTGGTCTTTGAGTTATTTATGTTTCCCTATATTTTATGCTACACTTCTTGCAGAGGTATTTAAATAAGTAAAGAAGTTGTGGTTTGGTTTTATCATTTTCAAAGTAGGTTGTAAAATGTGGATCACGCAGCAGGCCTACTCCAGATAGTGTGGTTGGTAGCTGACCTTTTGAAACTGGTGCTTTTTATCTCATATTTACATAATGAATGAAGTACGGTAGGTTTAAATATTTATGTATTAATGAATGATTTTTTTTTAAGCCTGTGGTAGACCAAACTACTGATTTGAAAGATGTGGCAATTCTCACGGGAGGATGACACATTTACTCTGCATCCCCCTGTGATGGCGGGGCGAACATTGATTCGCATCGTTCTAATTTGAAATGTTGATCATTTCATAAGCACTTTATAAACTTTGTTCCCAGTTATGAAGGACTTTGCTTTGCTTTCGTTTTGTGGTCCAAAGGTGCTGAAACAGATTGTTGCTTAGTACTTCCGCTTCTTCAGGGCTTCAGAGATGTGCGGGAGCCTCTTCCAAGTGACTGCACTCAACCTTGTTTCTGGTGGCAAGCTCTTTCACCAGATTCTCCGTGAAGGTACAGCAGCTACTGGAGGTCAGAAGAGCCACGGTGGAATCAGTTCATTTACTTACTGCCAGTTTTGGTAAAAACTGTCCAGTTTTGGTTCTTCAGAACCTCATGCCAACTTGAGAAAAAAAAAAAAAGATAAACAAATCTCACAGCTGGCCTTAGATTCTACTGTGCTTAGACTTGACACGGTTTCCAGAGAGTCTGGCTCCACAGTCCAGAAGACTCTGGTAATTCATCAAAGGTGTACTTACTATTAATTTTGTATGGTAAGTATTTGCTACTTTGAATTTAATTATTAATGTTGGTGTCCGTCTTGGTTGTGTATTGCTTATACTGTATTTATAAACTGGTGCAAAAAGCACAAGTAAAGTAAATTATACTCAAATTTATTATAAAGAAATAGTAACTATTTTAACTTTGTTCAAGTATGTGGTAATTTGCTCCTATTAGAGTGAAAAAATACAGTAAATTATTATCAGTTTGTGTAACTTAAGAGTATTCCACATAATATTTTTTTAGAATTAGATGCATAAAATTTTGAATGTGAAAATTGCAGGGCATTTTAAGACACATGTAGGGAATCTTCCCTTGTTCTTTGTTGGGTTCATTTTCTTTTTGCCATTTGATTTCATATGTAATGTAGTCAAGCATACTGTGAATAGATTGTCTGTGAAGAGCAAACCATGTAGAACTACTTTTTAAAAATGTAGCTAGTACAACTTTAGATAATTTCTTTTGCAGATCATTATATAAATAGTTTATATCTTCCTAGGTGAGTTACTCATTCAAATGACCTCAGATACATGTTTGCTTCCTTTGCCATGGCAACATCCATGTGAACTGCTTTGTACACTGTGAAATATAGCCCTCCAGCCTGCTTGTTTTGTGTTTACTGTGGGCTGGGAAAGACTTTTCCAAACATTAAAGACCATTCTTTCCACTAAGCGAGCATTCTATCTGCTTTCGACAATGCAGTCCATTTCAGTCAGCTTCGCTTGCCTCTCCGGAGTCATGCTTTCAGCTTACAAAGATAGTTTTCTTCAAAGTAACATACCACGTGACTGCATTGGCAGAACCACCGCAGCGCGAATGTTGTGCCTAGTGGGTGAGTCACGCCCTGTTCCTTCTGGTCTTTACTCCATGGTTGTTGGTAGTTAGGATTCCAGTTTCAGTCTGAACCATCCGTTTCTGTAGCTCAGCGTCGCACACCGCAGCAGGAGTGGGAGAACTGCGTAGCGTTTGTACGCACTTTACACTTTGCCGAAGTTGGCTTGCTCATCTGTTTGCACACAAAGGCGATGGTCCCTTTGTTGCTGTCTGTTCTGTTTCTTGAGATGAGGAAGGCCAGTCATGCTAAGGCCCCCTTAAGTAAGAGATGCCACGGTGGCTGAGGAAAAACCTAGAACTGTTTCCCCCTGTGCATTATAAGGAAAGCAACTGGAATTTTAAATTTAGCTGTCATATTTACTGACACGTAATTTGACACTCTGAGAGGGATTTTTATTTATCTTTCAGAGCAAATGCATGCGGGTGGTATTAAAATGGTCAGAAGGGAAACCCCTATTGTGGATTGCGGATAGGAAATTGTCTTAAGATTAAAAAGCTCAGCTTTTTAAGATCAGACCTTGAACTATGATGGAATCGGGTATACTTAACCTTAATTTCTGACTATAAGAACCACTTAATTTATGTGTTATATTACAGGCCGATTCATTTTAGGATTGCACTTCTTGTTTTATTTACCCTTCCTCATCTGAAAGTAGAGGTATCATTCGACCTCTGGCAGCCGTAGAGCACTGATGTTAACAGCAATCAGCTCATGACTGAGGCAGGCATATGATGGAGACCCAGTGGAGTTAAGTCTCAAATGATTGACACAAGCTAACAAAGCTCTTAGCTTTAGTGTTCTAACCTAACTCAGTAAGACTCGAAAAGGCTCCTGCCATTCACACATAGATGACTATTTGATCAGAAGCCAGAGAAATTATGTTAAGGAAACCCCAGACTTTCGAATAAAAGAGGCAAATCATACGATTACCCCCATATATATTTGGGTTGAATTAAACATGGAATATAAGTACAGCAAATTACACAGAAAGCATTCAGATTTTAAAGACAGGGGAACTTCATTATGTGTACGAGGTCTAGACTCTTGGAAAGGAGCGATTCCTCCTTAGAAAACCTTTCTTAGAAATGGCTCCGAACAGCTGGTGCCTTAGCCAGGTTTTAAAGTTAGAAAGTGGTTTCATTGTCCTTGCAAAGCCTTTTCAGGGTGACAAATGTGTGGACAGATGTGCAGCACCCTTTTCACATTCCCTGGCGTGTGAGCGCTGGGCTGCTCTTTCCATGGAGGAAAGCTAGCCTGCATCCGCTTGGTTGGCGTGGTTTCTTTTTTTTTTGGGGGGGGGGGGTTTTCTTCATGCGGGTATTAAAGCAATGAGAATTTTCAGCGTGAACAAGTGAACTATATCATAATCAAAACAGTTCAGTGCTTCTTTTCTGTAAGTTTTATCAACATGTTTATGAACCAGTGACAAAAATATGTGTACATTAAGATGTCCATAGACTGCAAATTTCATCTTTTCCAGTGTCTCCCCCTCTGTGTGTAACACTGGTGGAAGATGGACGCTAGGCGGCTGGCGACTGAGAGCCAGAGCAAGCTCTCTGTACTGGAAATTCAGGTGCACTTGCCATTTGTTATTTTGTGGTGGATTGTTTCTTCTTAATGTTTGTTATTTGTTGGCAAAATCAAAGTGCCTTAAGTTAAGAGTTCAAGTTGAAATCCATAGAAACTCAGCATCGGTTCCTAAGGCATTTATTTTCAAGTCTCTTCCGCATGTCCATTGTAAATTTAATGCTGTAAATGTATTCAGATTCATTTCCGTGCCTATGGCTGCCTTTGACTGAACTTCTTCCAAAAAAAATATGAATAAACCCTCCCATGTTGACTCTGCTCAGTTTTAGTTGTTCTTCCTGTCAGATGACTTGAACGTAACTTGTTGCGTAATCAGCACCAAGTGGGTTCTGTGCTGTGCACTTGTAGACTCCAGAATCAGAGGATCGGAGATCCTGAATGACCAGGGTGCCATGTGGGTAAAGCGGCTCATTTCCGTGGGGTTTCCTTCCTCTGGCCTTTGAGAGCAGGGAGTGTTCTGGCCTCTCCCAGATGATCTCTGGCTTGGGGACTCCCAGGGCCATACAGTGAAGCCGAAGTGCCTCCCCTGTCCTCCTGAGCATGCTGCGGGGTGGGGAGTTTATAATTCGGGGAGGGTGGCCCACGATCATCACCGGGACAGTCACCACTGCCTGGCCAACACTGTTTTGAGCCTTGCAGATATAATTTCCCCTGTCATAAGCTGTCACTTCTTTAATGACCAATGTGCCATTTTCATGCAGTATGTATTTTCCATTTACGTGGGGTCTGTCTATTACATAACCACTTGGCGTGGTCCACTTGACATGTGGCTTAGGGATCCCATCGGATACACAGTGCAGTGACAGAGGTTCTCCACTGACCCCCTGCACCATCCCCAGTGCGTGTGTCAGGATAACTGGCTTCTGGCCGATTTCTAGTATGACGAGCTTCTCAATATATCCCACCTGATTTCTCGCTGCACAGCGGTACTTTCCTGACTTGTCCCGAGTTGTTCTATGAATGATGAGAGAACCGTTGCTCGCTATCAGGTACGGGGAATGTGGCCTTCTGTTAGAAAAGCGCGTGCCGTCGGGGAGAATCCAGATAATTTCAGGGGGCGGGTTCCCGTCCACAGAGCAGTCCAGTGCTGTGGACCTGCCAGCCTGCGCGCTGACTTTTTCGTTGAATGGGTTTCTGAACGTTGGTCTTCTCAACATTTCCAGGACCTCTAGCTGCACCACCAGCACACTCTGGCCGCCTTCGTTCCGAGCCACACAGGTGAAGTCCGCTGAGTCGGAAAGCCTGATGTTCCGGAGTTCCAGGGTTCCGTTCTTATGGACTGTGATTCTGCTCCCATAGTATGGAGCTGTAAGGAGAATGTTGTCCGGCATAATCCACGTGATCCGGGGAGGGGGGCTCCCATCGGCTCTGCAGTGAAAGTATTTTTTGGAGTGCTGAACAGCTGTGGCCTTAATAACAGTTTTGTTGGTGTACAGGCCATTGATTAGTGGGAGTTTAGAGACAATATCCAGTTTGTACATTTTGGTGTCGTCACCACTAGGGTTCCGAGCTACACACACATACTCCCCAGAGTCAAGCAGTTTCACATTATTAATGGACAGGGTTCCATTGGCATGAAATACGTACCTGCCGTTGGAGAATGAAATGACGTCATTGGAAGGCAGCAACCAAAATACACTTGGCTTGGGTTCCCCAATGACCTCACAGTCAAGAACCGCTGTGTCTCCAGCCTTGATCTTCATGTGGGTCTCATAGCCTTGCCGTATCCGTGGTATGGCTGTCACGACTGTCAGGTGGACTTTCATTTCGTCTTTCCCTAAGGTGTTCTGGGCATAGCAAATATAATCTCCTTCCTCTGCCATTCCAACTCTGTTGAAGTACAAGGTGCCATTGTGGAAAAGGGTGTACCTCTTGGTCCTGCGGCCACTATCGTCAGCTTGCACGGCGTTATTGATCATTGTTCCATCAGGCAAACTCCAGGATACCTCAGGCACAGGGGAGCCAGAAGCCTTGCAGTCCACTTGGAAATCTTTCCCATGGAACGCTTGCTGCTTGAAATCCTGCTTGTGTTCAATTTTGGCAGGTGTCAGTCTTAGGCGGACCCGCATCAGGATCAGATCATCTCCCATTTTGTTTCTTGCCACACACAAGTAGTCACCGCCGTCCTTTTCCGTCACCGAGCCAATAGCTAAGGATCCGTTTGGATAAACTTGGATTCGGTTGCTCATTCTAAGAAGAAGAGAGACAAGCGTGAAAGTACAGCTGATTACCGTGGGCCGAGTTACCTTTTTCCAAGACTGAACATGGAGCAGAGGAGATGGCTCAACTAGCAAATTGTTTGTTGCACAATTATAAGACCTGAAATTGGATCTCCAGTGCCCACATGAAAGGTACACATGGTAGTAGCGTGCATTTGTGACCCCAGCACCAGGAGCATGGAGACAGGTGGATCCCTGGAGCTTGATAGACAGCTCGTGTAGCTGAATAGTTGAACTTTGGGTCCAAGGTCGCTAGAAAGTGATTGTGGAAGACACCTGCTGTTTAGTTACCTCTGGCCACTTCACATGACACACCAACATGAGCGTGGGCATACACACGAAAAGGCTAAAAATTTCTGCAACTTATGCTCATTTGCGGAAAATCATACTGTGTAGGAGTGGCCTGATTTATGTGATGCTACCTCCCTCCAGCCTTACCAAGAGATGACTGCCATAGTTGTATATGTAAATTATTACTATGAAATTCTGACACATAGATACAATGACAATCATTGTTACTATCAAGCTTATCTACCACATCCTGTTGTGTGTGCTTGTGTGTGTGTGTGTGCACATGTTTGTGTTTTATGCTTGGCATTAACTTTATTGATAGTTCTTAAAATGTTACAATGAAGATCTTAATCACCTACTGTTATCCAAGCCATTTGCTTAAAAAAAAAAAACAGCTCTGTAACAAGGTATGATTTACCTGAGACAAGTGGTTATTTCCCAAATACACTTTTAGTGAATCTCCTTATATAATTTTTTAAGACAGCGCAGGGTAAGAGAAATGCTGGAAGTAAAAGAATCCAGAAAAGTTAAAATTTTCTACTGAGGAAAAATAACTCATGTATGTGTTATTGTCTGATGATAGCTTTAAAATATATTAATGGGGCAATCATTAAGTTATTTAACTGAAGAACAGTTCCTCCTCTGATGACTACAGAGAACACCAATCTAAGACTCATTAGAAACCGAAGCACCTGCTGTCTAGGCAGCTGTAAAATGATGGTTTCTTCAGGACTGCCACTGCATTGTCTGTAATTGCCACATTTGACCACCAGATGGAAGATCTTTCCAGATTAAACTGAGCCTAGCTTTGAGTAGAAACAAGAACACCTAAGGGTACTTTCCCTCTTTCTTTTGACAACATGAGCTAAACTCACAAATGAAACTCAGAACTGTGTGTGTGTTCATCCGTGTACACTGGGGTCATCAGGCCTGGCATTGGGTGTCTTTATCAGCTGAACCATCTAGTCTGCCCCAAAACTTCTTAAAGAATACATTTAAAAAGCTTTTAATGGGGGGGGGGGCGGGGATGTTCCAGTGGCTAAGAGCATACAGGTCAGGACAGCAGCAAGCATCTTCACCTGCCAAGTCATCCGGCTAGCCCAGGACTTCTTGAAGTATAACTACTACCCAAGTCAACAGCCTCAAGTCATTTTCAGACGTGGAGAATACTATATAGAGAATAATGTAAGATTAGTGTGCTTTTTGTTTTTCTCAAGTGTGGAAGGAATTTCTCTGGAAAGACGCCAAGGTGAAATCATGAGAATGTACACACAAGTAAAGGAAATTACTGAAACTTTGTACAGATTTTTTTTTTGTTTAATACTCAAGTATTTCTCCCATTTTATAGAAGAAATCAGGTGAACTTGATTGAAGTTTCAGGAAAAACCTGTCTTTTGTCTAGTGGCACATTACCGCCTGTTATTAATTTCTCCTAATGCATTCTAAAACCATTTATTTTCAAGTTTGGCTGCATTATTAAATCTTCAGCCTGTATAGTCTGAAATACTTGGACCCATGCTCCAAGACTAGGATGTACGGCTTATGTGATGTGGAGTTGGCCTAGACATCAGGCTATTCACATGATTGTCACATGTAGGAGAGTCTGGGGACTAATTCCCTAAATGCTGGTACTCCTAGAGCCTGTGTTAGCATTGTCTAGGGCCAAATTTATGCATATTTCATGGCTTCTCTTTCCAGAGATTCAGATTCAATAGATGTGGCCAGGAACTTTGACCACAGTACTTGACAGATATCTCAGGCTACTTAGGGAATAATTAAGTTTGAGATCTAGACTCCAATTTTAGTGTGCACTACACTTACCTTAGGGGCTTCTAAGAACACAGAATCTTTGTCAAAGCAATCACTGTTTCTGACTAATGTTAATCGGTGATTCTGGTTAATGTTAATGCTACTGGTAAAGAGACAGCCTTTTAGAAACAACAAAGGCAACAAAAGTGATACCTCAGATTTGATCTAATGATGTTCCAGAATGTAACATCCTCTATTAACCAACACCGGAAGAACAATGACATAAGAACAAGCTTATCTGCTTAGGAGAGGGCTGGGGACTTTTGAAGTAGCTTTGAAGTGAAAAACCTCAAAAA